CTGTCTGCAGCTTTTCTCTACAGGCATTTCATGTTTTGGCACCTCTCACTGCCTGGAAGTCTCCACTGTAGCTTCAGATCCACACTCAGGGCTGCTTGCAGAGATGACCTTGCCACATATTTCCTGGCTCTCAGGCTTTCCTGTGAAATCTAGGTGGAAGCTTCCATGATCCTTGCTTATAAAACCAGCATCATGTGGACAATGCCAAGGTCTGCAACCTGCACACTCCACTTGGGCAGATTTGAACTGGGGCTACAGTGGCCTGAGTGCCTGGAAGACTTAAAAGGGGTGAAATGAATCCAGAGAAATAACTTTCTAGGTGCCCCTGTGTGTGCAAGCGAGGGGTGGTAACAGGGGATCTCTTCTCAAAGGAAAGTCTTTGAAACAAATTTACACCTTTGAGCCACTATGTGTGGGGACCTCGCTGATGTCCTAAGATGCCTTCAAGTCATTATTCCCTATTGTCTCAAGCAAAATGCTTGGATTCTCTTAATCGTTTAAATTTTTTTGTGCGGTGGATGAACTCCAGGAGAGCACTCTGCTATTGACCTATCTCAGGCCTCTATTTGGCTGCATTTTAAGTGTGCTAATTGCTACACCCTATGTAGTCGTGACTTTAAACATGCTCCTTTTCTGGTCAAACTGAAAGTTTTGCAAAACTTTCTGTCCTGCTTTCTGCTTCTGATTCTCAGTTTGCTGTGCTGCCTTGAAATTTCTGCCACCAAATAAACCTGTCCCTGTGGTTTTAAAGTTACTAGTTTGAACTTAGGGCTTTATGTTTGCTAGACACTCTACTACTTGAGCCACACTTCCAGTCCTCTTTGCTTTAGGTATTTTTCAAATAGGGTCTAGCATTTATGCCCAGGCAGTCTGAACTAGGATCCTCTTTATGCTTCCCAAGTGACTGGGACAACAGGTGTACACCTGCTGTCCAGCTTTTTATTGGTTGAGATAGGGTCTTGCTAGCTTTTTGGGGTCTAACTTCAAACTGCAGTCCTCCTGATTTCTACCTCCTGAGTAATGAGTATTACAGGCATGAGCCACCATGCACAACTCAATCTGTCACCATTAAACTCAGCCTTCTGCAAAGCCTCAGGACATGGACAAAATGTAGACAAGTTCTTTGCAAGAATGCAACATGGATTTTCATCTGAAACCTCCTAAGCTTGGTTTTTGCTCTCCAAGGTTCTTAACAGCATTCTGATCTGAGATTCCACTAGAATTGTCCATTAAGCTCTGCTTACACCATTTTAACCTTTCTCTTGCCTGCTCTTACAAACTTTTCCAAAGTCCTCCTCAGAACCAATTTCAGAGGTTTCTGAACCTCATGATCAGGTAGACACAGCGATGACTCCACCTTCCTATACCAATTTTTTGGCAGTCAGCTTTTTATGTGATAAAATACCTGAGAAAAACCAACTTAAAAGAAGGAAAGATATATTTTGGATCAGTTTTGGAAGTGTATCTCATGGTCAGTTGGTTCTGTTGTTTTGGGACTAGTGGCAAGGTACAACATCATGATGGGAAGTGTGGTAGAGCAAAGCTGCTCACCTCATAGTGGCCAGGAAGCAGAGGAAGGGTCGGGTCCAATGTCCCCTCCAAAGTAATGTCCCCAATTGCTTCGATTCATTCCACTAGGTTCTACCCCTTAAAACTTCCACCACTTCCTCCCACTCTCCCAAAGTGCCACAAGCTGGTGACCATGCCTGTGGGGATATTCCAGACTCAAACTCTAGCAGTCTACATTTTAAAAAAGAGAAAAGGCATTGTAGAGTAAGATGTTAGAGGCTGATTCAGACATAGGAATATGACAATTTGCCAACACACAAAAAAGATGCCCAAGTGATGCATGTTACTTTTTAGACTACTCTTGATAATTTTTTAATTGAAAACTCAATGTTTCTAAATATCTGGCAGTGTGTTATGTAAGTATTAATTTCATTTTTTTCATTTATTTACACATTCATAACCAATAATAAGGATGTTTTTAATGTGTTGAATGAATTTTTAAAGTCATGGATAATCATTTTTTTCCAAGTGACTATGAAGGTTGTTTTGCAAAAGTTCTACTTGCAGTCACTTTTATGGTTCTATACTACCATGGAAAGCAAGTACTGCTTATATAAACAAGCCATCTAAACAGAATCTTCCAAATAACAATACATTTAGACTATCCCCCAGGAACCCATTTTAAACTATATTATTGAAACATCAAATTTTAATTTGGTAGTATGATATATTTTTGGTAGCTTACTTAGTATGTCACATCACAGACAAGTCCAAGAAATAGATGGCCTTATACATGAAATGAAGTACAGAGTTAAGAGAACATAAGTGAGAAGCCTCCCCAAACTGGAGGGAGTGGGGAAGAATGAAACGGAAAAGCCTACTTGGGTATGCTCTTATTTAAGATGCCTCTTTTCTCCCAAATAAGAAATGCTAAATACTTTGTAAGCCACTATGCATCACACACAACAGCATCATTCCCAAGACTTCAATTCTTTAGATTCAATTTTGTTGTTAGTGGCTATTAATAAGTAAATGACATTAGAATACACAAAAATCTCATTATAAAGACTTGATATCTTGTAATTGAAGCAGTCTACAGAAAATTATCTTTAACAAAAGATATTCAAGTAATACTCTAGATAATAAAGGTATTAACTTTCCTTCTTAGGCATTATTTCATTCTATCTAGTTTTTTTTCTTTTTTTTTGGTGGCTCTGGGGTTTGAACTGCTTCACGCTTACTAGGCAGGTGCTCAACCACTTGAGCCACGCCTCCAGCCCTCATTCTGTCCACTGGAAACAGAATTTAGTAAAAGTGGTCAGTAAAAGCTTATGCCAAAATAACTCAAAATAACTTAATCAGCCATACGTATTCAAGCACAAAATGCAACAAAATGTTCTCTGGGAAAATATTTAAGTTTATCATAACTTCAAGATTATCTTTTTTCACTAAGGACAATATATTCTACTATTCTATCCCAATAATGAAACACATAAGAATATATCCTGTATTCAAATATCTCCTAGTTTACAGAGAAAGATGGAGGATGGGGGGAGGAGGCGTAAATCAGAAGTCATATTGGCTATATTTATGATCAGAAAAAAAAAAAACCCATACACTTTGGCAGTAAGTGTAAAAGAATCAATTCCTTAATCTTATGGATTGTTGAAATGTCACACAGATGGATCTCCTGATAACACCTATCTCTTCATTGTACAGTAACACTAACTGCTAGGAACAGTAGTTAATGCTTCTATATAAACATCCACTGGCAAAAGGTTACCAGTCTATGAGGTCTCAAATACTTCTGAAAACATAAGGTACTTTCTATTCATGTGTGACTGTACTAAAACAAACAGAACTGTTAGTTGGTCAAGATACTACTCTAGATGCTGTTCTCTCCACTGGGAGCAGAAGCAGCTGGAGCTGGATGACACTGTTGCCCCTCCTCCTATCCTCAGCTTTTTCTGCTCTCCTTGCATCCAGGCAAACTAACATCTCTCAGGATGTCTTCTGTGTGACTTTGAGAAACTTCCAGCACTCTTCTAATGAGCCTGACACTGATCAAACACATGCTCCATCATCTGACTCAATCTTCCCAACAACCCTAGGATCTAATGATGACTGAACTGAACTATTAAGAGTTCTGAAGTCAAAACTCTTGAGATTAACCATTAAGAAATGGTCAAGAAAACCATAAAAGTAGTTCCCCTTGGAGATGGTGAAGTTGGGAGAGTTCTGTACAAAGATAGGTAACTACTAAGTTTGATGCCCAGCTCTTCCACACAGTAAGTGTGGAATTTTAGAAAAATATTTGGAGGTGAGTGGACATTCTGACACCATGAAGATTTGGGACTTAGCTGGAGTCATTCTGAACTCTGAGGACACCATTTTATGGAGGTTCTGAGTGCTGACTGCTCATTTTTAGTATTGGCAATTCACAGAGCTTTTGGAATTTGAGCAACTGTAAGAAAATAATTCACATATTATGTAGATGTAAAAAAAAACCCCCAAAAGCTCTCCTTTTGTGACCCTGAACAAAAAGATCAGTAAGTGCATGGCTATACTGACCTATATACTTATCTACAGAAGCCCAAGGCTGGTGCAGAAACAAAGGCAAGGCTACTTACTACTATCCTTACTTTTGAAAGAAAGTGCAAAAGATCCACCACTGTTCCAACAGCCTTTGAGGAGGCAGTTCAGAGTTCTGGATCCTGAGGAGAGGGAGGCAATCTTCACTGATGAAAAGCCTAAGCTGAGCTCATCTTGCTGCTGAATGTAGGAAATTGTCAATGCCACATATACACAATTGCCAACCCACATATATACAAACATGAGCACAAACTAGTGCAGTAGCATTTGCAGCAGTGTTCATCAAGTAATGAAATATTTATTGCTGCTTCCTTAGTTGGTGGCAGAAGGGACACATCCACTATGAAGCAATCTTATTTCCTCAGTAATGGCACCTTACATTTATAAGCTGCAATGGTTGTCTGATGTTTCTTTAATTTAAATATGTAACTTAGAGCTAATAAATAAGATGACCAACAATTTAATTGCAATTAATTGCAATTAATTTAAAAAACTTGACTATTGTAGGTAGAAGTTGTACTTAGATTATTTCTCCCTAATCCCAGGAAAATGGAGAACTACTTTTATATGTGTCTATTTTTATGTAATTAGCTTGCTGCTCGTGGCTCAGGGAAAAAAATCCTAAAGCAATGTTAATATTAAAGATTAAAATCTAATGCAAAAAAGAGATAACACTCTGTAACAACTGTGGCTTCATGTGCACTTTATCGGTAACAGATTATCATGCTTACTGACATCAGCACAATGCTGGGAATGAGAATACATCCTAAGTAATAAATGCCAATTTATTGACAAACAAACAAACAATATTGAGAACATAAGATAATCTCATTTCTTCTTTCGTATATTTTTAAGGTAAAGGAGGATTAGAAACTACTAAAAAGGGTGTGAAATACAACTTATGATCACAAAACCTTTTATTAAGCCCAAGACATAATAGACTATTACAGGGAGAACTCAACTACACTTCATTAGAGAAAGTATGGATATCTACAATAACAAAAACAACAACCAAAGAAGTAGTCTATTGCTGAAGATACATTAACATAGAAACCTTAGGAGAAAGCCACCATTACCAGATTTTAAAAGGTAATATCCGAACAATTTGACTAACTGGGTACTATGATGCAAGAGGAGGTAGTAATTAACACTGCAGATTCCTTTTATACCTGTAATGCTGAAGTATATTAAATATACTCAATATGCCTTCCAGAACGAGTAAGTCTACTGAGTCATGAGTGTTCAGAGGCTGTAATATCTAAAGCACCAACATCTTTATTTACTTTCTAAATTGAGAGGATTTATCTAGCATCTTAGCAAGTTAGGATGTCTTGAAAAGTGTATCTCCAGTAATTAACAAATCTTTGATTTATAAATAAGTTTATTTATAATGATATTTACATAATAAAAACAAAACACATGAAAACTCACAAGTTATACAAAGAAACTGGTGTATAATAAAAACAGCAATATAGACTGACAGGCAAAACTTTAAAGAAAGATTTAATAAAGAGTTAAATACCAACTAGACAACTTTACTTCTTCTAAATTTCACTTTGTCACCCACACTGAATTGGAATTGAACAATGGCTCTCTCTTCAGTCAGTCCTGTTCTGGAAATTCTGGAAATGGGTAAATTATATTTTGATAAGATTTAAAGTCAATGACCTATTTCCATGCAGTACCTATTGCTGCCTTAATACAAAGTCACATCCAGTCTGCTTTGAAGTGAAATAGCTTTGAGTTAAAATGTCTGCCAGACTAGAAAAACATCACCAACATTTTGCTCACCTGTGGAGGTACAGCAATAAGGAACAGCTGAGACAGGAAGATAACTGGAGCAGAAGTGACTGGACAACAGTTTCAAGAGAAGCAAAAGCCAGGAGAGGGAAATCAACGAAAACATGCACAAGAATAGGCAGAGTTAAACAGCACAGTTAGTGCAGGTGGGAAATGAACAGAAGGAATTAATCCATGGAGCAAGATAAGGGGCTTCTTTACGGGTTTCAGTTACTATTCACTGGAAAACAACTTAGTGCCTAGCCAAACAGAAGTACTGATAGGACCTGGGGGATGTTAGAAGATGGAATGCCACCTTTAACTTCAGGTTGCGTTCTTACTGACATTGGTGAACATCTGCTTCAAATAGCAATAAAATGAAGGCTATATAACCCATACTGCTGCATTGTTTAAACTAACATAATAAAAAAAAAACTTCAAATGAGACAAGCAAAAACAAAAGCATTGTCAAATAAGGCACATGTAAAAATCTACACACATTATCCAGTGAAAGACAATATATATATATTTGGAGGTAGAAATAATTACAAAAATACTGACATTTCTAAAGCATTAGCATATTTGTTACAAACAATCACCAACTAATCCCCATTCAGAAAACTGCTTTGTAAAATGATTATTCAACATCTTCAGAACTACATATTTGTGGCTTTTTATGAAATCTCATTGAGCATCTGGAGAGTTCAGTTAGTGGCAAAAAAGTTGTCCATACTATGAGAAATGCAATATGGAAATTATAAAAAGTTACAAATGTTCATAAACCCCACGGTCATCTTAATGGAAATGTCCTTGAGTGCACCAGGTTGATATTTCCTTGTCAATTAGGAAGTCACAGTTCTCATTTCACAGGCCCATTGACGTTTTCAGTAATGTGGCAATATCTGCTGGCATACTCCCTTCATCACCTGCACGTCAGAAGTGACATTAAAAGTTTTATAAAAACATCTTATAAAATATATTCTCTCCCTCTCAGTTTTTCCTTCTTTCGTGAATTCCTACTCATCTTCCAGTTTGCTTCAGTGACACACCATTAAAAATCCTCTCTTAGCCCTACATGTATTAAGACTATTTCCTCTACCCTTTGCCCACATAAAATCTAAGGTTATCTCTTTTATTTGATAGACACAAAGATATATAAAGTACACACAGAAATGGTTTGGATCATATCTCACTCACATCGAACATGGTACTTCCTTCTTATGTTTGCTAAATACAAGAAAAACATTCTATAACAGAGTGGAAGAAAACAGAGCCCCCAAATCCCCATCAAACCAAAAATTTATACTTATTTTTTATATAGAGATAAGATTAAAAATAAAGCTATGAAAGAGGACAAAGGGGAGAAGTGTGGATATATACTTTTATCTACTGTTCTCTTTTCTGTAAACATCACATATATGCCAAAACACAAAGTGCTGTATAAACTTTTTATTTATTTTTTTTGTGGTACTGGAGCTTGAACTCAGGCACTTCACCTTGAACCACTCTACCAGCCCTACTTTTGTGAAGGGTTTTTCGAGATAGGGTCTCACGAACTATTTGTCTGGGTTGGCTCTGAACTGTGATCCTTTTAATCTCTGCTTCCTGAGTAGCTAGGATTACAGATGTGAGCCACTGGCACCTGGCCTATATAAACTCCTAAGGAATTCACGAATACCACTCCTTCTAAGCTCACCCACAGACTTAAAAAGAGCCCATGAAAGAAGTTGAAACTTGTCCTAAGTTAACTGACACCATGCTAAGAGCAATGCATGGAGATGAGGAAGTAAGGAAAAGAGTAAAGAAAGTCCTCTATTTAAATAAAAAATAATATGATAAAATGCAAAGTGTGAACTTTGGTTAGATCCTGGTTTCAAAAAAAAAAAGCTATAAAAGACATTAAAAGGATAACTGGGAGAAATTTTAATATGGACAATATGAGCTAATATACCTGGAAATTATTGCTTTTCTTGCATGGAAAAATGATATTATGGCAATTTAGAGAAATATGCTGAGATCTGAGAATGAACTGACTTTGTAACAGTTCAGAAGGAAGGAAAGTTAGATGAAGCAAATACCAGAACATCACAATTGTCAATCATTGTGACTTCATTCAAACTACACTTTCATCATTTTTGTATGAAAATTTCCGTAATAAAAACTTTTAAAAAGACAAAAAATGTATTAATATGATTACTTTTTTTAAGAGGAAAAAACCCCACAATCTTTATTTTAAAGCAGTGGTGCTCTGATTAGCACTTAACAAAATCAAAAACACTCACAGACTATTCAGTCTGTGCCCAGAGTTCTGAGCAGTAAGTAGAGGGCAGGACTTGAGAATTTGTATGTCGGTAGCTCCTGCTGCAGATTCTATGACTGCACTTCGAGAACCAATAAGGCAATCTCCAGAAACACAAACTCTAATAAGCATATTTGAAAGCAATCATGATCTTTATATAACCTTTCAGTTTCATGAAGCGGTATATGAACTGTCAACATAAACCACAAACGCTCCAATGCAAATGTACATTTTGTTTACACAAACAAAAGGACCTCACTCTGAGAGATGGGAAGAAGGGAATACCTGGTCTTTAACAGCTCAGTGTCAAACTATTTAAATGAAACCAGAGGCAAATCTATAGCTAAGAAAGTAAATCAAAGATGACACTGTATCTTTAGTTTACCAAATAAAACACATTGGGAAAAACATACATCAACAGCTTTAACAAGAAAAAGGAGGAAAATGTCCTATAAAAGGAATGAGTGTAAGCGTGAAGCCTTGAGTTCAAACTCCAGTACTGTGTGGAGAGAAAAAAAAAAAAAAAAAGAGAGAGCTGGGAGTAGTTAGTGCCTCACACTTGCAATCCTAGCCATTTGGGAGTTGATATTGGGAGGGTTGTGGCAGAGGGCTTGCTTTGCAAGCCCAAAAGCACTCAGTTCAAACTACAGTCCTACAAAAAACAAAAAACAAAAAACAAAACCTCAATTTCCTGAGAACACAGCTGAAATAAAGTTAGTATTTCATTACACACTTGCTCAAAGAGAAAACAGGCAAATTTTTTTGACTGATCGAATTTATGTAAGTACAAATAATTTGATGAATTATGATTGAAAGTGACTGAACACACACATTACCTCTACTATCATCTGAAATATCTTTAAAATTCCATGGGAAAAGTGTGTGTGTGTAATGAAACAAAAAAGAACAGAAGAAAGAGACAACAGCAACATGATGTCAATAAATTTTGAAGATGAAAGCACTTGGAAGAATAGAAACAGAACAAAACAAAACCTTAAGTGCCTGCAGATGAGAAATGCAAGGCTATCACATACCCCCAGTTCTCATCCCCAAAGCTCAGACAATGAGGGTATAGGAAGACATAAAGCTAATGCAGAGCAAACGGACAAAACACCTAAAGCTTGCCTAAAAAAGCCAGCCATTTATTCCAGATGTACAGAACTGAAGGTTGGGACTCTGGATTTGGGAAACCAGGGAACAAACAGGCTGTATGGGCAACAGAACAATCAACTGCTTGAACAACCTGTCCTCCTCCTCAGCTCCAAGAATAGACTCAGCGACCTCCTACCACCTCCTCCTACATCCCCACTTCACAAGAGATGGGAGAATATTCCTCTGAGGAAATGAACTACCCATGAGAACAGACTTACAGTCAAAAACTGACAATCAAACAGCTGAATCCCTTAATAATTAACAACTGTGGTTCTACCTAGAAACTTACTGGTAAGATAAAATCCATAGTTGGCATTTACTGGCATTACTAACAAAGTTTAATTGCTCTACTGAATTCTAAAAGCTGCCCTAACAAAATAATCAGGAAAAATTATTGCTCAAGTGGAATCTGCCTTAGGTGTTAGCACTACTGTATTTGCCAGATGATCTGAAATTGACAGGTTGCCAGACAAACCCCAGTCATAGTTAATATTCAATGGAAGTTTGCTACACTGAAATGAAACATTATCAATTTTAGAAATTATTTATTAGAATAATGAAAACTGCTTATTTCCAATTAAACATTAAGAAAAGGTGCAAAAGGTGCAGGGGGGAGAAATGACCCAAGCCTTGTATGCACATATGAATAATAAAATAAAAAAAAAAGAAAAGGTGCAAAGAGTGCAACCTAACTTGGTTAAAAAGGAAGAATACATATCCATACTTATTTCTACATGCTATATGCATTAGTTATACACTTAAAAAAGGCTAAGATCTTTATTGGAAACAAGGTGATGGGTAAGAAGGAGGCTCTTGCTCACCCATTTATAGCCTGAGTCAAATTACATGAGCATATTATTTTTTCAAAATACATGATACTAAAATTTTTTTTTATAGCTTCAACTTTTCCTCCCATATGTTATTCACATAAGTTTTCATATTTTACTGGGGAGTGGCATAGTAGAAAGAATAGGGACCCTATTGGGGAGCCCCATATTTGTTACCTAAGGGCAAAGAAATTAAATTCTTTAATGTATGAGAAAGTGGTCTATAAACAGTAATATACACTGAGCACACCTGAGTCATTATTAATTCATTTTAGGTATGATCTCTTTGGGCTTTACTTCCTTTACAAAATGAGGGAGTTTCATATAGGAGGCTCAAGTCCCCTTAGATATAGAATTATATGATTGTGTGATCATCCAGCCTTCTCTTAAATTAACTAACTGTTCATAGAATAAGAATACTTTTTCATTGTGTTTCTTTCTATGGTTTTGGCAGTTCTGTGGTTTGAACTGAGAGCCTCACACTTGCTAGGTAGGCATGCTACCACTTGAGCCACTCCACCAACCCTCTTTCTATGGCTTTGGACAAGACAGTATAGGAATGAGAATACCTTGTTTAATGAATTATAACTGGTCATTGGTTTTATAAGTTGCAAATACTTGAATATAAAGCCGAGACTGTATCATATACTGTATGGACATTTCAGTAGCTAGTAATATTTTTGTTGCACTTTTGACCAAAATTAAATGCTTCAAATCTTGCTTTTAATGAAATATTTCTGTTCTTTTGGTAGCCAGAAGTGCAACTTGCTGAAGGCTTTCATGTGTTTATGCCTAAATCTCAGCTGGACTCTACATTGTCAAACTACCCTTTTCAACAGGGTCCAGTGGAGTCATTTATTTGAGGGTTCTTCATAGGGCCCAAGTGACTCAATCTGAAGATGACATTAAATTTTCAAAAAAAGTACATTTTACTGCACTCCATTTCAATAAATATTGGCTAGTCAAAATGAAAGTATGTAAAAAATGTCATGGTTCTTAATAAAGTTAATTACGTCATAGAGTACATTATATCATTTTTTTCAAGCCTCTAAGGTTCATAAATACTACTCATATAGTAAACAAATCTGGATCTAAGTTTAATTTTATTTCTGACATATTCTGGTACCAGAAGTAAGACAACAATAGAACAAGACAGAATTTTCCAAATATCAGAGAGCTTATACTAATTTTGGCAAAATGAATCTTAGTTACTATAATACTTTTGAAAAAGTCTGCTTCCCTTCTCCCATTTTACCCTCTAAACTGTGCACAGTGGTTAAGAACTCAGGCAATCTTTCTTATCCTCCTGCAATAGTTAATTCATATATTAATATATTAATAATGTTAACATTTCTGCTTACAAACAGCTTACCTTCATCTACTGTGGTCATATCCTGTTCTAGTTTCAACTTCTGTTGGTTAATTTTTAGCATGGATTCTTCGATCGTGCCTTGGCTTATTAATTTAATAACTAGTACTTCTCTAAAACAAATAGAAGATTTGTCCAAGGGTTACTAAACTTATTTGGATACGTGTAAACTACATCTAACAGTTCAATAAGAATAAGGCAGTATAATAAACATTTGCCGTACAAATGAATACACCTTCATACAGAATCCTCCGCAAAGACAACATTAAGTATATGCTGATCACAAATGACAGCAATATTTAATTGCAATTATTTTTATGGCTTCATACTCCTGTGATCAATGTCAAAATTCAATTTCACTTAAAACTATCTACAACTTAATCTGTTTGCTAAAGGGTAATACTGCAGCAATAGTACCTGCACAAGATTCTTGCCTGTTTGCTTGTTAAGGCAGGGTCTCGTTATAGTCTGGGACTCTCAATCTCTGTGCTTCAGTCTCTTGGGATGCTGGGATTATAGGCATGCACCACAACCACACCTGGCTATGTCTACACTACTGTTGTATGTAGCAAGTCTGTCTCTTAAAAAGACTAAAAAAATAACACTTTTCAATTACTAATCCTTCGAAGGGGCTAGACCACCGATAAAACTTCATCTTCAAGAACTGTACAACTATTTGGTATGATGTTATTTTGCTTTAATTACTAGAAAAGAAGTTACACACTAGGAATCATGTTCAATATTGTGGATAAAAAATACATTGGCAGCTATGCTTCACTGGGAAAAAATGAAAACTAAGGCAGGATGCCCGATACATTATATTCTAATATTCTATACCTATTGAGCTGGTATTTGATTAAAAATAAATTCCAAATGAAAATGCTTACTTAGTCTGACCCACTCTGTGACATCTATCTTCTGCTTGTTTGTCATTGTAAGGATTACAATCAATATCATGAAGTATAACAACATTTGCCGAAGTCAGATTTATTCCTAATCCACCAGCTTTTGTTGACAAGAGAAACACAAAGATATCCATATCGGTATTAAACTCATCAATTAGATGGATCCTGTAAGATAAATAGATTAAATCTCACTTTAAAAAAAAGCATAGAATGTAATTAAAACTGAAAACAATCACATCACATGCAAAAGAAACTAAAGATGCTGACACATGCTCTTGACATTACACTTACTTTCCTTGCAGCTATATCATTGAAGGACCTTCCCAATTCGCCAACTTCCTTTCTATAATATTGCTCACTCAATCGACTATTACTTTAATTCAACCACTCAAATTTGATTAATTTTTAAAGGACTATTTTGTCCATTGGTGACTTCTGACTTACAAATACAACATATGCAATCTTGAACTTTCTCAGTTCTGTCAGCTGCTACTGGCTGGCAATATACCTGATGAACCAGACTACAAGTATCCATACATTCTCTTTTGGCATGAGTTTTTGCCCTTATGCTAATACAGGGAAGAAAAAAAAATCACTCTAGCTGATAAAAGTAAATCAATACATATAATGCAACCTAAACATAGCATCCTTTGTTTTTAAAACAATTTTTTTAGAACGCTTAAGTGTTTTTTGAGACAAGATCATACTAGATAGTAGCTCAGGCTGGCTTGGAACCTGTCATCCTCCTGCTTCCACCTGACTACATCTATAATCCCAGCACTCTGAAGCTAGGCAGGATGGCAAGTTGGAGGCCAGCCTGGGTTGCATAGTGATAATCTGCTCTTCTCCCACAAAAATAAAACAAAACAAAAAAACCCCTAACAACAAAAGAACTGAGAAGAAAAAAAAGCTCAGTTAATCTTAAAACATGATAATCCCAAGACTTTAAAACAATCTTGATTAAAAATAAGGTGCTTTAAAGCTTGAATAATTTTTGAAAGGAGAAAATTCTAAACAGTATACAATTCTCACAGCTGTTTCAGAATGTATTTGTATGTAATTCTGACAGAAAAATTAAAAAGAAAGTTTCCCTCATTTTAAGGTAGTAATTTGAAATAACCAAACACGAGGCTCAAAGCAACAATTTCTATCAAATGCTCTATTTAAATGCTAACAAATACAAAATCAATGAGTGATATTCTGAAACTAAAGTGAATACCAACCTTTCAGAAATTTGAGTTTTTCCATCTAATCTGAGGTACCTATGCTGATGATGTTTTAAGAGAACCTCTAAAATATCAAGCATCATGGTAAATTGGCTAAATAATACAACTCTGTCACCCTGTGAAAATACATGCATAGATTAGAAACAGGAAAATAAAACCATTAACTACTTAGTCCCGATAGGCCTAAACAATTAGGAGGATTACATAACTATAGTGACAACTTTGCAGAAAATTCCTTCGAACTGTTGGGCAAATTAGCAACCATTAAGGAAAGTAGTATGGAGATTCCTCAAAAAAGCTAAGGATAGAACTGCCATTTGACCTGGTGATACTGGGCATATACTCAAAGGAATATAAATCAGGATATAATAGACACCTGTACACTGATGTTCATCACAGCACTATTCACAATAGCCAAGCTATGGAAACAAACCCAGATACCCTACAACTGAGGAACGGATCAAGAAAATGTGGTATATATACATATATATATATACATATATATAAAATGGAGTTTTACTCAGCCATAAGGAAGAATAACAGACACCATGTGGTTTGAAGGCAAATGGGTGTAATTGGAGGACAGCATGTCAAGTGAAGTAAGTCAGGTTCAGAAAGACAACAGCTGCATGTTTATTCTCTTATGTGGAAGATAAATCCAAAAGATAAACATACACTAAAATGAACATGATCAATGCCATCTCATATGCAGAACATGTTTGTAACAGTGGACCTTCCCTATGGAACTTGGGGAAGGAGGGAAAGGAACAGAGAATGACAGAGCATCAACAGTATCATAAAACAACATCTGTGAAGACAGAGGATGACGATATGTACTGAAAGCTGTTGAAAAGGGGGTGGGGGTGTGGGTAAGGGAAAGTAATGGAAGGGGTTGAACAAACTAAAGTAAAGTATACTCACAGTGAGTATACATCAAGAAACCCTTTGAACATCGACTTAGAAATTATAAATGAAAGACAGGACTGTAATATAGATAGGGTGGGGAGTACTTGTGGGAGGAGGGTGAATGAAGGAGATTAAGGTAAGGGAATATGGTTATTGGACTTCATAAAGCTATATGAAGTAGAACAATGAAACCTCTTGCAACTGCTTCAAGAGGAGCTGGGAGGGAGTTGAGGGTGAGATGGTGGCGGCAATCTAACTCATGTACAGTATAAGCATATTTGGAAATGTCACAATTTATCTCCCTAAACAACAAACTTATTCTAATTTTAAAAAAACTTAAAAAGAAATAAATTACTAAAAAATTCAAGTAATGATAATTAAAATATTTTAAATTTTAGCATACATATGAATAAATGTATGTATTTATTCATATGTTAAATGTGAATAAAAAGTTCAGTTTTGAACTTTAGGGGAATTATTTCCTTTGCATACCAGAAAAAGTCACCGAATGTGAATAGCTGTATAATTACTATTTGGACAAATTCACAAATTTAAGCTATTTGACACACAAAATGCAGTATTACTTAAACAAGCATTAAATAAATGGTGTCTTCAAAACACTAATGTTGAAGCAATCATACAAATGGTTACCCATGACAATTAAGATTATTCTTAAAAAAAAATGTAGTTTGACTTTTATCATTCTCTCTGAAGTTCCACAAAGAAGAAATCAGGAAAAAAAAAAAAGCTCAAATATGTGGAGACAATGTTTAAAACTGGGTTCTAGAAGAATGGAGCAGACATAAACTAAAGCTTCAAAAAAGTCAAATCATGCCAGAATTGCTTTAAGAAGTTTAACTCAGAAAATATAAGAGTATCATTGTTTTTGAGTACCTTCTGTTTCAATTCAGATAAGATGCGTCCTAAAGCTTGGAATTTTCCAGAATCTAAAATCAAATCCATGTCTAGCTGGAAACTGTTAATGTGTCGATACTGTTTACAAAGCACATGCAGTTCAAAGTCTGTCATTACTTCCATATCTTCAAAGATCAGGTCAGGGTTGGCCTCACAATGTGTAGGTTCCTTTTTAACACAACAATTCACAATATACTTCAGAATGGAAATAACTTATGATTGGACTAGTTTGATAAAAATTTCTACATCTGAAAAAACAACTAAATCATAGAACATCTGAGTATCAAACATTTGGCACGGAAAATTAATATTAACTTTTAGCTATAATAAAAGTGGAGATTCTTGTTTTAGAGACAGTGTACTGAAATATTTATACATGAAATGATTATCTCCTTTTATACACCCTTTACTTTTATTATGTAAAATCCTTAACCAGCTTTCCAAAACTAATATTCATTCACTCAAACCATAAAATAATTAGAATTATTCTAGAGTTTGGCTCAAACTAATCCTGGGTAAGGAACTAGAGGCATAGATAAAACAAGAATAGTATCATTATGGAATGCAAAGTAGAAAATGGATGAAAGTTACATGGGCAGAGAGCTTCATTACATAAATTCTTTCTACCTATACATATGTCTGAAATTTTTCATAATGCTTAAAGTAACATAAAAAATTAAAAATAAAATGGGCCGTAATCTATTCATGGATCTGTAAGGAGAAATAATGGTAAGGCACTAAGGGAGAATGAGGCAAAAACAAAGAACAAAAATTAAAACTACAAGGACAAAATAAAATAAGGAAACAAAATGAAGAAAATAAATGGGAAAAAGTATGTCACTAACCAGGACACAAAATCTGAGTGTTCTTTTTCTTTTTTTTTTTTTTTTTAAAAAAAAGTACATTGTTGAAGTCTAGTTTGGGAAATGTCAAACTTGTCTTGTAAAGGGCCAGATGGCAAATATTTTAGGGCCTTGTAGGCAGGATGATGAATGCTGCAATGATAGTAAGAGACCAGCCATGGACAACACAAACACATGGGCATGATTATTTTTTTAAAAAGTCATGGCTCTGAGCCCATAGTATGTTAATCCCTGATCTAGATTACTAGTCCTTCGTGGCTCTTTTCTTCATTAAATTATCTTTGTCTCACAAAATGTTTTTTTTGGGCTGGTGATATAGCTCAGTGGTAGAGTATATGATTAGCATATGTGAGGTCCTGTGTTTGATGGTTAGCACTGTAGAGAAATAAAATTTGTTTTCCTTAAATATGTGCTTAAAGGATTAATATCCCCAATGGGTTCAGAAATCCATCTGACTTTAAGCCTAACAACCTCCTAATTATTTAATAGTGTTAATAAAACTCAGTGTTAGCATAATATAAAATCCTTACTTTTAGCATAAGTTGAGACATTTCCTTGAGTTTTTCAGCAGTGTAATACTGGCGATGCAATAAAGGATGATTGGCCATTTTTCTCAATTGCATCATTACATTGCACATTTCTGTGTTTTTTTCTGTGATTCAAAGAATATATGTTAAAAAAAGGTCATGACTGTTTCCTGAAACATATCTAAGTTTTAAAATTATTCCTTCAGATTCCAGCTAATTATTTTAAATGAGCAAATCCCATTTACCATATTACTAAACAAAACACGGGCCCAGTACAAGGTAATTTTTCACATAAAACTTTGAAAATCAGATTTTACCCAGGTTATTAATGGATTTTTTCAATCTGTTGAAAAGACCCAAGTAGAGTTGCTCCTGTTTCTCTGACATTGTACACAACTCAATTCGATCTTTCTTGGGGGGTAGTTGCTTCAGAACCTGAGAAAGGAAAATAGTTTAAGATGATCTAATAAAGAGGAAAAGAGTTTTTAAAATATAATCATATCCAAAACCACCCAGATAAAGAATTATCTCCGGCTGGCAGAGTGGCTCAAGTGGTAGAGTGTGCATGCTTAGCGTGAGGTCCTGAGTTCAAACCCTTGTACCTCCAACAAAACAAAACAAAAAACAATAATAAAAGAATTACCTCCTCTTTCACTCTTCTGAGAATAAATGGCTTTATAATTTGCTTTGCATGTGCTATTCTTTCCTTTTCATATATACTCTGCTCATCTGCGGATTTCTAAGCAAAATAAAAACATAATCCTTTTAGAAACTAAAATAATAAATAAATAAATAATAAATATAATAACTGTATTAATGTTATGTAATGACAGTATTATGTAACATGGAAATCTCCCTCGCTAGAATATGAATGATTTTCTACACTCAATTCATTCTAGATGGAAATTCTTCCCAGTACAATAGGTATTTTCTGAATAGTCTAGTTTTGTTCAGTTCTGTAATAAGTTATTAATTTATTCAACCAATTTTGGTAAAAGACATGCAATGATCAAATCTTCCCCACATATCATATATCTGAGCTCTTCATCAATTTAAAATTGTCATTCTTCAGAAAATTTGAATATTAAAATCCAAAACTTTTAGATGTTGGTTATGGGAACTGCCAATTTTTTCTCTATTTTATTTTGGCTGATTTCCAAACTTACCCAAATACAGAGGTACCAACTACTTAAACTTATTTCACAAAGCCTGTGCACTATGAAAGTAACAGCAAAAGACAAAACAGAAAAGCAGCCCAGGCAAAAGAGAGTAACAAGCTTGGGGAAAAAGGCCCATGCACATATGCTTACTGTTTTAGAAGAAAACATCCTTCGTATTTCACTGGTGCTACTACTAAACATGTGTGGCATAACAAAGTTCAACAGCGACATGAGTTCCAGCAGGTTGTTCTGCACAGGCGTGCCTGTGAGCAGCAAACGGTTATTTGCCTGGAAATATACGTAAAATTTAATTAGTTTTTTTTTTAAAAAGAGCTGCTCCTTGTCTACCTTGCCCAGTGAGGAGTGAAGAGAGAGGAGGGAAACTGCAACTATTATATGAGTACTTTAGATACTTGATGCCTGCTATTATAATCTACAGTGTGTAGGACAGAATGTGACAAGTCCTAATCATATTTTGTTAGTAACTTGTACCCTAATATCACTTTTATGAGGCAATGAAAGACAAATTATATTTGATATTCCGTTTGTCACATAGAAATTGAGGAACGTGCACTATGAACTACAGATGGTTTTGACACTTTTAAAGGATTATGAAAATGAACAAAACAAAGAATACGTGAGAGAATATGTGGGCCACTAGGCCCACAAAGAATGAAATATTTATTACCTGACCCTTCATGGAAAAGGTCTGTTGACTCCAGATATCAATTATCTGACACACTGAATTACATAATCTACAATCCTCTAACAGAGAACAATTTCTCTTACATTAATTGTCATAAGGTGCTGGTAGCGAATGGAGCCCATATTCTTCAGCATATGGCCCTCGTCAAAAATCGCATAGTTAAGTTTCAGCCGTCTAAACAGACTCCGGTCATCAGAACTGCTAATTGCACAATTATACCTGTCACCAAAAAAAGAAAAATCTCAACATTATACCTTGTAAGAGCTTAAAGCCATTAGAACGTACAGCTTTTTTTTAATAACTATTTTTATTTATATGTTTGTACTAGCTGTCCCTAAAGGTCAACGTTAGACCAGCTGGTATTCAGATACTTTGTATTTGGTAATTATTGACATACATGTAACCAAATTTTGAAAGCTCAGTACACAACTAAAAGAAATTCAAATGTCATAATGTAATTAGACAAGTTCTACACACTTGGGAAGAGACCAATTTGAGTTAAATTTATAAAGCATTTGCTATTATAATATACTTTGACTCATGAGTTGCTATTTTTTAAGAAACAGATAAAACCTGATTGTATTTAAAGCATTAACTGGTAGAGTAGGCCAAGAAATAAGAGTTGAGCTTGGGGTGTGGCTCAACTGATAAAGAGTGCTGTCTAGTGAGCACAAGGCCCTGAGTTCAAATCCCAGAACTGCCTCTCCCAAATCCCCCAAAACAAAACAAAATACACAAGTAACAGTTGGTAGCTACCAGTTTAAGATTATATAGAGAGTCAATCAGTAAGAAAAGACAAAATTTTGGGTAAATTCTTAAAGGAACAGACTCTTTCAAAAAAAGGTAGTAGTGAGAAATAATAAATGGTTAAACTGAACTTTAAATAACTTGTAAAATAAATGCAACAGAAGAACATTAAGTTCTACAAAAGATACTTATGCCAAGTAGTTATAACCAAGTAGTGCCCAACATTCTCAAACTTACATTTTTTTATCCTTTGTGTCCCAACCCAAATTTTTCATTGGAAGAATGACATTTCACTGATTCTTATAGAATCTTGGTGGGAGTATCTCAAATTTTACTTTAAGCTTAGCTGATAGAGTTCTATTATAAGACTATGCTTTCAATTAAGGAACTCAACCTTTTCATAGCCCTTTTATGTGAGCCGATTGCCAACAAAACCTCCTATATTGGCCTTACACGTCAATGAAAAAATGCCTTCATCTTCAACATACACCATTCCATTATTTCTGTCAAACAGTTTGTAGCAGAAATGTTACTACACATTACTACTACATCTCTTTTCAACGCTTGCCAGGCAAGTGTTCTACCACATGAGACACTCCATCAGCCTTTTTTTGGTTGACAACTTTTGAGATAGGGTCTCATGAACTATTTGCCTGGGCTGACCACAAACTGCAATCCTCCTAATCTCTGCTTCTCAAGTAGTTAAGATTACAAGTGTGAGCCACCAGTGTCAGGCTTATCTCTATATTTTTAATTTGAAAGCTGCATAAATCATCCCCACCTCCCCCCGCAAAGCTGTCAATACTTACGTGGTCACAATTACGTTGTAGTCTTCATATTTACTATGGATATTAAATCTAATTTGTTTCCGCTCTTCTTGAGAACCTAGAATTTTAAAATAATACCACATTTGGACTCTATTTATTGCAGTTTACTATGTTTTAATTTTTAAAAAATCCCCAAATTTAAAAGCACAATGACAAATTCTTACCATAGTAACAGAGCACATTTAAAGTGGGGCACCATAAATTAACTTCTCTTAACCAGTTATCTATAAAACAAAAGAGATTACTTGCACCTGCTACAATAGAGTATATTCATGAAGTCAAACACTAAAACTTGAAGTTATTCTTTTATAAAATACAAACAACACAGTGATTTTGCTTTTATTAAACACCCTTTAAACATGTCTTTATGATTAAAGTGATCTTAAGGTTCTAAAGTGGCATCAAAGTGAAGGGCAAAGGACCAACTATTCTAAGTGATTGTTAGCCTCCAACTTAAACAGATGGTTTTTACTTTACATTCATATGCACAAAAATTCTCTTTCCCTAACTTGTGCATCAAACTGAGAAAGAATGGAATTAATTGCATGCTGTCAGATTCAATCAATATTTATAAAGCTGGGTGTAGTGGTAGTTACAGCTACTATGCAGGCGAGAGGATCACTTGAGTCCAGGCTGTGCAACAAGTTAAGACCTCATCTCAAACCACTCCCCAAGAAAAAGAAGGAAAATTTTTATATTTAATGGTACTTGTTTTCCTTAAAAATATTATGAAACCATGGACTGGCAGAGTGACTCAAGTGGTAGAGTGCCTGCCCTAGCAAGCATGAGGCCCTGAGTTCAAAACCTCAGTACCGCAAAAGAAAGAAACCAAAATAAATTGTCAGTTTCTTGATGTATAATAATTTTAAACTTGAACAGGTGACTTATATTTGAGTTATTTTCTTGAAAAAGACTGCCAATACAATCAATCATACATATATAATACACAAGGGAGAAAACAAGGGGACCACAAAATTAATGTTCATCTACACACACATACATACACACAAAAACAAACAAACAAAATACAACAAAAAAACCCTCCAAAACCCACACTTCTACCTACATAAGCCACTGTGTCCCTAGCATTACAAACCTATAGTTGAAGCTGGAACAACAATCAAATGAGGGCCTTTGTTACCCTCCTGATACAGGTACGCCAGGAATGCAATAGCTTGAATGGTTTTTCCTAGGCCCTAAAATTAAAAGTTTAAAAGGCAATATGTGAATTTAAAAATGAACAAAAAATAGTATGTCAAATTATAAAACAAAAAGGAGTATTTCTGTGCTGTATACATTTTTGATTTCCCATAATTCAACTGAGAATTACTACTATGTTCTCAAATGAATTGATTACAATCTCCAAATGATGCTAAAACTTACTTTAATGAGGAAAGATGGATTCATCCTAATGGCTGCCTCACATATGACACACATCAATACGGAAGAACATTTACATTGCAGAGAAAAAGCAAAATTTTGGTTACTGCTTACATATGTCAAATATTTAATATCTACTGGATGGATTGCGAACTATGTCCCATAACTAACTGGAGTTAAATATATGCCTACTCTATTACACTGAAGAGTAGAATGGATAAACAACAGGGCACTGGTTGTGCCTGTAATCTTAGCTACTCAGGAGGTAGAGATCAGGAGGATTGATATTTGAAGCCAACCTGGACTAATAGTTTGTGAGACCCTATCTTGAAAAAAACCCATCACAAAAGAAGGGCTGGTGGAGTGGCTCAAGGTGTAGGCCCGGAGTTCAAACCCCAGTACCCCAAAAAACCCAAAACAAAACAAAACTGGATTAAACAAACTACAGCATATTTATACCACAGATTACCATCCCACATGGCAATAAAAAGCAAAATACTACACATGTAATTTTAATAACATTATGTTGCACTAAATGAACCAAATACAAAGGGTATATATGGCATATTCTGTATAACTGGTGACTTTCAGAACTGAGGGTTAGGAATGATTGGAATGGGATAAACGTTGTAGAATATTAGAAATGTTTTAGGTGGTAGTCAAGATGATTATGATAAGCAAATTAAGCTATATATTCACACATTTTTATGTGTGAAATAAATTGATAGCAATAAAATGCTGGTTTAGTCGTTCTCACTTTAGAAATGACTTGTTTTCAGTCTATTGAAAGTGAATTCCTTTCCTAATAAACTTTCCTATCATTTTTACTTAAAACAAAAAAACCCCAAAGAACAACAATAACAATAAAAACTGGTTTAAAAAGGCTACTGAGGTTTAAGCACCTCAGGGGAAACCTATTTTCATTTTGAGGAGGAGTGAGGAGGCTAGAACTATAAAACAGGCAATTAAAAACACAGATGGTGAGAGAAAGGGTGACAGCAGTTAAAACTACAATGTACAACTGAGAGCTGGGGATGAGCTCAGTGGGAGAACACTTGCCTAGCATGCCTGAGGTCTTGGGTTCTATCCCAGTACCACGAAAACAAGCAATCAACAAAAAAAATCTACAATGGCAAGGAAAAATGTCATATTTTAAATGACAGGAAGGAAGTCTATTCATGACATTTTGAATAATAAATTCAGTAATGGTGTACACTTACCATTTCATCTGCCAAAATACCATTTAGTCCATGTTTATGTACCAATGCCAGCCAATTCAAACCAACCTTCTGATAGGGCTTGAGTGACAAACTGGTAAAGAAACAGTTACCAAATATTATAGATTTATACTTTTATTAGTTTTCTATACTATTTTTCTGACATCAGGTTTAGGTTTACAATGAACCATAAACTGTAAGTCCTCAATCTAGCCTTACCTTTTAACTTACTCTTATAAGTTATGCACATCTATTTTAAGAAAACTAATTCAAGTATAACTTTTAAAAATCTTCTCAGGCTTTTCTCTGTATTTGTTGATTTATTTCTTCTGGCAATATAGGTTATGTAAAATATTCCTGTATTTGATCCCAGTGTAATGTCACCAAATTAATTTGATAAATGATCAGAATATTAACTATGATAACATATTATTAACTTAATATTTACCCTAGCATACTGAGTTGTACTGACTTGATTTCTAGCACATTAGGGAACATAAAGTATTAAGATAAAAACTACAAACATAATTTGGTATTTTGCCAGGCTGGTTAATAAATATTTTCTTAATGTGTACCAATCACCCTATGCCAGTATAATTTCTGGAGTATGGGCATGTATGGGTGTATTTATGTGTGAACTATGCACAGATGTAAATCTGCTCAATATCAATGAAAATCAGTGAGTAGAAAGCAATATGCAAATGTCAAAATCTTATTTAACTTCAAAACACATAGACTAGTCCCTAATCCAACTTGCTTATTTGGGAGAGTTATAATGGATATAAAGTTTATCTAACTGTTCAACTGAACATCTCTTATATACAGACATACAGATACCATTTTTCAGATATCACTTCATTAGCATCTCCTATACAGTAGCTATTATCATCATTTTAACAGATGAAAAAAAATTAAAGGCTCAGTAATTTGCCTGAGGTTGCCTAACTATAAAATGTTAAGGCTAAGATTTTAATCCAGGAAGTCAATGTCACTCTAAAGCCTACCCTCATCCTCACTAGGACAGAACACACCCCACATTAATGTGAAAACCTCAGACTAGGCCATGATTTCATTCTCCAGCTTGTATCCTGTCCCCATGATTAGGCCCTACACACATTCAGTCTGCACACAGTAGGAGGTCTGGACATAGCCACAGTATAATAAATAGTTGAGGGGTCAAACTCTGAAATCAAGACAGTTTTATTGAAAACAGGGGGGGATGAAAGATGTCCACTTTAAGTCAGAATCTATTTTCAACTGTAGTGTACACAATGTTCCTTTAAAAAATTTATTAAAGTACAGGTAGGAGAAAAATCACCAGTATTTCTAAGATCTTTAGTTTTTTTTTTTTTTTACTTTTAAAAAAAAAATGTCATTTCCATTCTTAGCCAATAATTTCCACGCTACTACAAAAGCAATAACCTTAACAGATGCAAAGCTTGCTGTGGTTCAGAAGTTAAACAATTTGTCCAAATTCATACAGCTAACCAAATCCATGTCTGCAGTGAGAGTTGGTATTCAAATCAGATCTAATCAAAGCTTATCTTTTAACCACTAAATAGCAAAAAAACGAAAACCTTTCTCTGACCTGCCCATCTTATGTCAACACAGAATTCCCCACTATTTTTCTGAGTGCTCCCTCATGCTTTAGTCATGATATACACATAAGGCTGACATTTCATGAAAATGATAAAGTTAATAAGGTAGATATATTATATCACATAAATTGTACCCAAGGGCTGACATGCCATCCCAACACACAAAAATCTATCAGAAAGAGCCAAGAAATATTCTTAAACAAAAATTACTGAAATTCTTCATCCCTAGTACATGTTGAGAACAATCTATTTATCTTTCAAAATACTCATTATATATTAAATTTAAAAAGTGGTAGCTGGGTGTGGTGGCACATGCCTACAATCCTAGCTACTTGGGAGACAAAGATAGGAGACTCTCTTAAACCAACCCAAGCAAATTTAGCAAGACCTTGTCTTAGAAACCAAAACATACAAACAAAGGGGCTGGAAGTGTGAAGTAGACCACCTGCCTGGTAAGGCCCTGGATTTAATTGGGGGGGGAGGGAATAGGGCAGGAAGCGCCCATTAAAAAAAAAATCTCCATTTACATTAAATTGACTTACCTACAATCACAAGGAAACTCTGGTAAGGTATTTTGATTAGGACATCAAAATATTAAATGGCTTGGTTACATTAAAGTATTTATTTTAGAAATATGTATCGATGCATCTCTCTCTATATTTATTACTCTGCTAGATTTCTCTAAATTAAAAGTAAATTTGTATTACTTAGTAATCACAAAAGGGCTGCCAGATCCTTTCTCTGTAATATAAAAGGGTCAACAAAATGTAATTTTACAAAGACAACTTGAACTCCAGTAAATTTGATATTCACTGTAGCAAATTTTTAAAACAGGATAAATACATTCTTTCTCTAGCAGGTCCTATTTAGGTCCTATTTATTTTGATTTTCTAAGAATTTTTATGATTATATGTGAAACTCTACAACCAATTTACTATAAAGGATATAAGGATGTCCTGTGGTCTCCTGAAATACTTTAGTGTTTCTTCTGAAGAAAATATGACAAATACCTGTAAACTGAAGGTATTCTTACCTCCCACTAAGGAATAATTGATTTAAGATTTTCTGTGATCACTAAAGAAAATGAAGCAGCACGTAATTAAGTTACTTTTTCTGTTACAGAAAAAAAAATTGTTCCAGAGTTGACAGTATGAAAACTAAATTAAATTAAATTAAATTGGGTCTCTCGTCAGAAAAACTACTTAAAATTTATTTTCAAGGGTGAGAAAGGCCCAAAACAGAAATATCAGGGGCAAATATATAGTGCTAAATTTGAGTTTAAAATGCAGAAATGCACAGTTAGAGACTTGTTTGAAACAGTTCACATAAACAGACTACAGATGCGAACTGACCAAAAGTTTATGCCTTCTAGCTTACATGGCTGGTAAAAATACTACCGTAACATTAGTTTGTTCTAACAGAAGTATTCAGATTAAACTATCTGTATCACTTAAATCATGTCTGGGGCTGCAACATGACTCAAGTGATAGGGGCATATGCTGACAAGTATACAGCTCTGAGTTCAAACCCCTGCACTGCAAAAACATCCCCAGCCCCCCAATAAAACTGTTATCAGCAGTATTAATCTGCATTCACATTGCTGTCAAATGGCCTCACAGCTCCTGTTTAAGACAGGGAAGCTATCCTGTCAAGATCAGGCAGGATGAAGAAGACAAGAAGAGCCTTAATAGATTTAATCCAGAGAAGACAGAATACATCTGATTAAATATACTGTATATCACACATGTGAGATATCTTTTCAGTTAAAACATTTTAAAGCTGATAAACTTTATATTAATTACAAAAGCCTTAAACATGGCTATTTCTATGCTAAGGAAATAAAATAGGAGAAATTCTGAGGTTTTTGTTCTCTCCCTCGTCACTCACTGTATTACATTTTAACTTTAGTCAGTTTTAAAGACTATGAATGGGTAATGGATTTGAGGTGGATATTAGAAACTTAATTTTTTTCTTCAAAGACTTTATTTTTAACAAGGAATTCTAGAATGTGTACATATCTAATAGGAAATTTTCTCCTGCTATAATCCACATAAATTTATAATGGAAAGCAAAAGGGTTAACAATCATATTGCTTTCATATTTCTTTGCTATAAAGAATTTGTTCTCTTAAGAGAAAGATCCTAGGGCTAGCAGTGCAGCACGGCACTTTTGTACCATGTGTGAAGCTGGGTTTTGATCCACAGCAGGATCCAAAAAAACAAAAAAAAAAAAACAAAGATACAAATGCAGGTAGGTAGTCCCAGATAGTCTATTTTCCTCTGCTAATAAATCCTTTCCCAAAACAAGGAAACAACTGCAAATGTTTTTCTATACTAGGCAGCAACAATGCCTGCCTGGTCATTACACCAAGTAAAACTTGCTTGTGAATTCTTCCCTGGGTGGAAGAACATAAACCAAAACAACAAATTCTACCCCTAACACTTCACTGAAATAAACTCTAAAGAGCCTGTCTATGTACATTTTTTAGTTGTATTTTGGACAAGATCCAATGAGCACTTAGAAACAAAACTATTTTCTCATCTATTAAATACTTCATTAAAAAAAGATAACCTTGGTCTAGTGGAAAGGATTAAATTACCTGATCATACTAGTTACAAGAAACAGGACTTTGTGAATGTGGGTTTAAGAGAGAAATTTTTTTAAGTGATGCAATAAAGCACTTGATTTTTTTAAACCCAAATTATGATAAAGTAGACTCAACTGGGTAAGTCTTGTAGAGTGAAGAACTCCCCATATCCAATGCTGGAGAACAAGAAGCAGCAGCTCCAACTACACTTTTAGAAGATGAATTTGCTGATATAGTCCTTTCTATGCAACAGAGAAAAGAGCTTCTTTTGTGGGAACTGCATCGTTTCCCTACACCATCCCATAGCACCCTAGAAGGGCACAGAAAAGATTGTCGCTTACTATTAAAGGCCAGTAACCAAATCTTGTTTTTTTTTTCTTTTTTTGTTGTTTGTTTCATATTGTAAGTTTTAATTATTACCCAATGATCAGCAAATATGCTTTGATCATTAACAAAAAATTACCAGGAACAACTAAAATTAGAAATAAGGTAATCATTTTATCGAGACCCTAGTGCTAATCTTACCAAAATACCTATCAGAAATATTATGAATAGACGTAACTCATTTTTAAAGGTACATAACACCGCATAGTATGGATATTCCACAGTTTATTATAATTATGCCCTGAGTTTAGGAACTCAGGTTGTTTCCATAGTTTTGCCACTAAAAGTAGTATCATAGCAAACAATTTCACATATATTTTTTTTAAAAAAGGAGGTATTTAGAACAGCTCTTAGTCTCCAAACTACTTAAACTTCTAAAAGACATTAAAAACAATTCCCCCCCTCCTTTTCAATCTTAACACCATGCAAAATGTGAGAGGTGACAATATAAAAATCATTTTAACATGAACTGGCTGTAGAACAATTTTAGTGTTTATTTTTTGCAAGAATTCTGACAAGGTAGTTTATTAAATGTAGCAGTGTGGAGAATATTTATACTTACATAATCTACTTAATACAAGTGTCTATCCTTCTCCATTTTGATGCGTTTCTACCCCAAAGGAAATTAAAAAATCTGGGCTTTCAAAGTATTTAAAACACTTCACCACAGATATAGGATATTTTATCATAATTAAAAAAGAAAACAGGATAAGACAGCAATTTTTACCCTGGTACAATAAAGCAGCTGACATTTCTTAAGACACCAAATTTACATACAGGGGTTGCTAAAACCACCTATTCTGTTTCTGTATTACATAAGAAATCATCTACTCAGACAAGGAAGACCTATAGGTTACATGAGACCATACCATTTCTCCTCAATTGGATTATGATGATGCAATGGAATAAGATACTCTGTATGAGAGAGGGAAAATCAACGAAATACAACTCATACACCATTTATGTGCTATTACAGGAAACCTTGGGTGGGCTCTCTTCTAATACTAGTTGCTGTATCACATTTAATTTCCCTAGGCACAATGCAAAAATAAGTTCAGATATTTTATACAACTGAGATAAAATAATGACTGTGTTCAATAAATATTACCTTTGGTTTAGAATGGAAGGTTGTTCTATGTTCCATCCACCTCCATTTCCAGTGAGCATGGTAACCTGCTTGGTCAATTTATTTGAAATGTCTTCACATTTATTCATAAGTCTTATAACTACATCCCTTTCTTGGATCAGCGTTTTACAGTTCCATATCAAATCTTCTGATAAGCCATTAGTTTTGGACATCTTTGTGAACTAGGCATGAGAGGAAAAGTATTTTAATAGTTCACATCTAGTAAACAGAAGCTAGGTTTTTTTTGTTGTTGTTGCCACTGTTTTTAAAGACAGAATCTTGCTCTGTGGCCCAGGTTGGCTGCAAGCTTGAGATCCTCCTCTTGCCTCAGCCTCCAAAGTACTGAGATTCCAAATATGTGCCACCATGCAAAGCTGCCAATTTCTTTCTTGAACAGAAAAATGTTTGTTAAACTTTTATTAATTAGCTTAGTGAAGTGCTAAGAGAACCTAATTCCTCATGTCCACATTTGAATTCCCATGTGTTTCATTTTTGATAATCTATCATTACTAAAAATTAATCATGTTGAAATTAAATCTCCCCTCTCCCCAAGAAATGCATAATCTCAAATTTGTTACTTCAATCTTGGCAGCTGTTAATATCTCCTATCAAGTTGTTTTGTTTTTTCAAAATCTGATTCACCTTCTTCTATTACAAAAGTAAAAGTAACACAGTGTAATAACCGTGAATCTGATCTTGTCTCCATTTTTGGTACTTCTTACAATTATTTCTTAAGCTTCATCTTCCTAAAACATTTTTCCATTCTCTCATCAAAGTATAACCTCTCCAGTTTTTAAAAATCCCAATTATTTGTTATTTGATATTTTCCTCTTAAACTGAGACAAGTTCTTGGAAAATATTACATGAATTAAATTTAATTATGTCACTTACTAGCTATGTGGAAAAAAAAGTTAATTATGGAGCTGGGGACGTAGCTCAAGGGTAGAATGTCTGCCTAGCATGTGTGAAGTCCTGGGTCCAATTCCAAGTATCACAAATAGAATAGTTAATTATTACCAATTCAGTAATTTACAAACTTAAAAAACCAATTGCAATATAGCATTTGTATGGAACTTTTCACACAAAGGTCTGAAAAGTTAAGATATGTGTCATTCAAAATGTATTTGTACTTACATTTCAAAAGGAGACCCTGATTATTTCAAATGTAAAAGCTGTACCAATTTTCATTTTTCACACAGATAGCTGAAAAAAATATATACCCTGAACAACATTCCAAAAGGCATTTTTAGTGAAAATAGCTAGTTGAAAGTTTGTTGGGAAAAACAAAAATCCTATAACCCACAACAGAATAAAGGAAACTAAAATAAAGCGATCTGTTAGAATAAAAGTACATGTGATTTTGAGTCAAGTCATCCTATTTAGCATATGCTCCCAGATTATAAGAATCACATTAATAACTCTAAATGGTCCCTGTGATCACAGTATTTCTAAATTTAACCAGAAGCTTGAGAAATAGAAATCACCATTTCCAGAATATACTGATGGTTTCATAAAAATGCAGTCTACAATATATACATTTTTCCTTTTCTAGAATAAGTTGGCAAGATATGAATTATTCAATTTATTCCAAATATTCTGGATCATTTTTAATAAAACCTAAACAAAAAAAAAACCTAAACAAAAACAAAACATATCAAACAATAACAAAAAAGCCCTTAGCACTTTACAAAATGGCATTGTGAATACCAAATCATTTTCACAAAGACAACGTCTGTAACTACAAACTGACCCATGGCCCCGTGCTTTCCAAAGAAAAGAGCTATACATAAAACAACAGGATGAAAATCAGTATTTTAAGGAATCTCTATTAGAACTCTTCATTAAAATATTTTCATTTTTATGGGCTGGAGACTTGGCTCACATGGTAGAGCGCCAACCTGGCAAATGGGAGGCCCTGAGTTCAAACCCCAGTATTCCTAGCTTCTTGAGAGGCTGAGATAGGAAAAATTGCAATTTGAGGCCAGCCCAGGCAAATATTCCTGAGACCCCCCCGCTCCAATCTCCAAAATAACCAAAGCAAAATAGACTGGAGGCATGGCTCAAGTGGTAGAGTGCCTGCTTTGCAAACGTAAAGCCCTGAGTTCAAACCCCAATCCCACCAAAAACATCTACGTCATTTATGTGCAAGAAATTACTTGCAACTGCCCCCTTTTAAAACGTTTTTATTAGTATATGATAGCTATGCAGGTGGTTTTGTTTTATGACATTTCCATATATACATATATTGTACCCCAGGTATGGTTCATTCTCTAGTAACTCCATTTAAGGAGCTTAGTCCAATTTTGAACTAATCAATTGAAGTTTAATTTCCAAGGTCACAAAACTGGATAAAAGACTCCAAAGTCTGTGCTCTTTTCACTATAAACAGAAACTCCCTAAATAAAATAATGTTAAGACCTTAAAAGTTCAAAATAAATATGTGAACATTTTTTTGTGGCCAACTACCATTTATTATGTAAGCCCTTACTTTTTGGCAAATACTACTCTCATTAGTTAAGGTACCTGGTAGATAAATACAGTCCCTATCCCCATGTAGTTTATGGTTACTGGAAAAAACAGGTAACAAATAATCTTAAGTATAATAACTGCAACAGAATTTCACAGGCACTATCACAAGCAGACTAATAAAAACCAAAATCTAGGAGGTCCTTTCAGGATAATGGGGCCTCAGAAATAACAGACCTAAAGAGTAAGATTATCCATCCTCAACAAGAAAGCAGGGACCATCAGGAATTGAGTCTAACTTATAAGCACTGGACAAGATAAGATTTCTTGTTTAGAAACAGCACTTGCTGAGAGCAAAGATCTATTATGATGACTTTGAGGCAAGAGACAGTAATGGCTTGGTTTGGACATAGGAAAGCTGACAGATCTGTGATATTTAGGAGGTAGAATCCACTAAGTATAGGGAGATGAATGAAAAGAAAGGGCTAAGCATGACTTCTAGAATTCTGGCTTAAGCAACTAAGTGATTACTGGTATGAGCTACTGAGATACTGAAATTTACCAAGCTCTAGAGGGAAATCTGCTTCTAGCTGCCAAATATGTAAGAGAGGGCTAGATGTTAAACAAACAGATCTAGTCCTTAGGAAAGAGATATAGGGTGGAGAAAAACATGCTGTCATCAGAACCAAAGATGTTGATGAGACTACCTACAGAAAAGCACATAAAATCAGATCAGAAGACTGAGAACAAAACCTTGAAGACCTCCTGGGACTGCATCTACAGAGTTCAATCAATGGCCATACCACCCTAAATGTGCCCAATTTCGTCTATCTCAGAAACTAAGTAAAGTTGGGTCTAGTTAGTACTTGGATGGAAGAAAGGCAAGTATTCTTTCTGCTTCGGAAACAGCAGGAAAGCACTCATTCCATTCCCACCTTCTCAGTAGCTGGTGACTGATTGGAAGACAGTTTGCAATACTGCTCAAGCCCTGGGCAAGTCACCCTTCAGGATTCTTCTCTAACCTGGATCTACCCTCTTCTTAAAGATATCATGGGGAGTCTTTATTCCTATTTCGTGCATGGAAGCAAGTGATGTTTCTCTCCTTGGCCCTTCTCCCTACTTTATCTTGTTATATTAAAATAATCCTTGCTAAAACTTCTAAAATAAATAAATAAATAAATAAGTATATATATATAAAATAAAGCCATCATGGCTGTCCTCAGATCTCGCAAGAAACCAAAAATCATCAAAAAGAGGACTAAGATGTTCATCTAGCACCAGCCTATGAAATTACTTAACTTTAACTTGTTAAAGTATTATTCATATACATACATAAATAATAAAAATCAAAGTAATAAAAGAAACTCCAATACTTCCTCATACCTTCATTAACTTGGGGGGAGGGGGGAATAGGTGGCACTTAAAGAGAAGTGTAAGAACACTATGTTGTGACCATATCCCTATTTTTTTTTAACACAAAAAGCATTAATAGTCCTATAAGTTACTTAGATTCACACACACACCCCTCTCTCAAAAGAGATCCATGCCTATAATCCCAGCACTCAGGAGGCTGAGGCAGAAGGATCCTAAATCTAAGGTCAGCCTAGTTCTGTAGTAAGACCCTGTCTTTAAAAAAGAAAGAAAGAAAAAGAAATACAAAAATTAAAAAATCCTGATTTTAGTAAATCTAAAGTTATTGATAGTCTAGAAAATATAATCCCATTTACATAGCATAACATATAGAAATGTTTACACATAATGTTCAAATATCTTAAATGTTTATCATAAACACATAATGCTCAGATACCTGTCAGATATTTGACAGGTATCTTTGGCAGAATTTTGAGTAAACTTCATGTACTGTCTCAATTTTACAAAATCATCTTTACAAACTTATGAAACAAATCACTTTTTAAAATGATACTTATTCTGAGGGAAGAAAAGAAACAAATATCTACTTGTTGGATATATGAAAAAAAGAACAATATGCTTCTGGTTACTATTTCTGATTAAAAACTCAAGTATCTAAGAATTCTTTTTCTGTTCAAAAGTAGTCTGCAACTGAAGTACCCCTCTCTTGCCACAGTGTGTCACTGTTACAATTAGTTTTGAATTTTAGAGGATGGGGGGAATTGTTTAAAAGCAGATTTTTCCAATTATTTAATCCCTTCTTAACAAGTAACAGCCTGAAGACAGACTTCTAATCTTATTCATTATCCATTATTGGAAGTAGCTGGCTTCTGCCAACTAATGTACCCAGGATGCATTTATTAATTTTTAACTAAACGTTTATCAAACTTATACAAATTAAGATGAAGCCTGAGGATAGTAATCTTACAAACAAATTTAATGAAGACACCCCACATAGGAGGAAGAAATATGAATTAACAATGCTTTACGTGACAAATTTAGAGAGACATTTTGTAGAGTTAAAGCTCAGGAAAAAGCACTGGGTAAAAACAAAATGAAAAAGATCTGTGGTCTAAGTTACTAGTAGATGAAAGTAGCATGAACTACATGAAGTATTCAATATCAACTAAACCTGCACTGCCTGGTTAACAGTGTAAACCTGCATTTACACTGGTCTAAATGTTAATGAAGAAGATAACGCATGTGAAGCTTTAGGCTGAGGTGCTCGTGAACACTGCACAGGTCAGTACACATACTATTCTTAGTAACACATAAAGATTGCAACACAGTAAGCTGTATCATGCACATAACACTACCCCACCATACTTTGTATAAGGTTAGACAAAACTTCAGGAAGTTGTTGATGAATTAATGCCATCAAATGTATGAAATCTGCCAATAAAAACTCCAATTTCACCACACTAACAAATCTGGCTTTTTAAACTAATGACATTTTTGGCGTACCATATTTCAAAGGGTACCTGATTTAATGATATGGTTTCCTTAAAACTAGTCCCTGGATTACTGCTTATCCTTCAGAAAAATTGTACGTAAAACGGAAAAATTATGAAGAAAATTTAACAGATAATATTTAAATTTTGAAGGCAAAGAAAAAAAAAATAGGAATAAAGCTGCAAATATAAACACCCTCTCAGGTAATGAACTTATTTTTTTAAATAACCAATTTTTCCTCATGTAAAATGTGATTGGAACCGAGAGCATTTTAACCTAAAAAAAAAACAATATAGACTGGGAATACATTTCCACTAGAGCACATGCCTGGGTTTGATCCCCAGTACTAGGAAAAAAGAGACAAAAAACTCCCCCACAATTCTCTAATAAGAAAACCAGACCGATACAGAAAAGTATGCAGTCTCTAGATTTAAAGTTAGATTACTAAACAGCTGGTGTTATGCAAGTGCATTATATTTATATTTTGTATATTATGTATATTACACATATTACATTACATTACTAAGACTCTGAAGAAACCAAATTTTGCTTTAAATGGTACTAACAAATTTCACATTCAAGTTACTTTTATAAAAAGACAATGAACTATCAAGACATTTAAAAATGTGGTGCTTACCAATGTCAAAGAACTTCATTTTTAGTAAAAAAAAAAAAAAAAAAAAAAAAAAATCACAATTAAAATAATTGTGTTCACTTGATTCATGGGCCAAGTATGCATTTTTTAAATAAAATATGTACAAATTTTACAGATCTCTCAAATTCCATTAAGAATTTCTATAATCCTTAAGACTACATAAGCTTTAGCAATAATTTTAAGAGGTGACTTAGGTATTATTCAGGCTGTGTTGACTGTACAATAGCTTGCAATTTTTGTTAAAGTTTGACTGACTAACATGATTAAAACCTCAAGCAGTTGTCATAGAAATCTCAATACAGCAAGTATTAAAATAAAAATGGTGGCCTTTTTGGGGGGGCTATAGCTTCCTATAAAATTGTCTAGGGATACATCATGAACCTTACTGATTAACAGGAAAAAGTCAATCATATAAAATGTGTACAATACTAACTTTTCCTCTGATAATTGCATTAAGATATTAAATTGCTCTGTAAGCTAGTTACATTCAAACTTCTAGTTATTGAAAAGTAGAAGGTAAAAGTTATAAGCAAATTAAAATTTAAAGCTTATATATATTTATTTGTTAAAACTATTAATTTGGAAAAACTTATTTATTACCTACTTTGCTCAGGACAGCAAAGCATTCTATTTACTGAACTCAAGTAAAAGTCTGCTTTTAAGATACTTTTAAACTAATGAATAAAATATCTGACATATGATAGTTGGTTAGAACAAACAATATGGTCTTTATGTTCAGCTTTTTGAAAGGGGCAAGAAGTTAGGAGGTTTAAGTAAATAATGCATAATTTCCAAATTCATGTCAAGACGAATTCAACTATGCCAATTAATTAGCAGAAGAAATGTGCTTTCTACATGTTAAGTTGCTGAGTATTTTTTAAAACATCTGGTACATACACCTCTGGTAAAATTGTACAATTTACTTTTACTCTAAGGTAGGGCAAGTAGTTACAGTGACTAAACAACCAGTGCATATAATTGCATTCCTTATTAAATAAATTAAAATCCCAACAAGCCTGAGCAACCCAACTATGTAATAACAGAGGAGACCGTTAAAGATTAAAAGAAAGAAGAAAAGGAAGAAAAGAAGAACAAGAAAGCCCTTCAGCAAATTCTTTAACAAATAAATCACTCAGGCAAAGCCAAACAAGTTTTGAAAGGGCCTGCTTTGACAGATGTTCTCTGGAAAAGCACAGGCTTCGGGCAAAACAAATGGCTTTACTACTTTAAAAAGTTATGAAGTACAAATAATGTTTCTGTGTTTTTCAAATATTTTAATTTTTTAAAAAATGCTTTCTATAGCACTGTGCAGGGTCCCTCCCCTATCACCACTTCAAGACACTTAACAAGGGCACTTGTGCTCATTTAGATTTGTTATTAGTACAAAATTAATCATAAATGTATCTTTACTCCATAACTTAGAAATAAATTTTCCTAAAATGCTTTACAAAGCATCAAGAGCCACTTCATCTTCTAACTCTATACACAACCATCCACATTGCTTTCATTGCAGGGCCTATCTACAACTCATGCTACCAAAACCCACATTCTCACAAAACTTGAAGCAAAATCTAAAAAAGAGCTTTTACATTTTCTCTGCAGTTATAAGATTTGATGACTGTTGACGTTTACAAAACTCAAAATGCAGGCATTTTGATTTCACAGGAAATCAAACTCCACAAAAGGATCATGCAAAGTGTACTTACCAGTGTTTATGCCTTCCTTTCACCTAATGCTTGAATTCTATGCTTCCACAAACTTTTCTATCTTTCCAATTTAAAACGCTGCAGCCTGCTACTCTCCATAAAATGGCCGCGTTGTTTAACCAAGAAAAACATGTTAAGAGACTGAGCTGTCACTTTTAGAAGAAACAGAAAATAAGCAATTGCTTCTTTTGTGGTGGAGCATAAAAACACCCAGGCTGGCATTTCCAATCATGGAGCTCTCCTGGACGATGCTACTGCTCTCCAAGCAGTTGTAGTAAAATTTCTGCCACATTCTTGCTTTCTGCATGGTGCCTCAGCAATAACAGATCAGAACAGGCTAGCAAACAACTCCTTCCTAAATGTAAGCTCTAATTTCTTCTTCTGCAGTGAAATGAACCAAGTTCCTATGCAAAAGAATGAGTGACAGTATTCCCAGCCAATCAGCTTGGGTTTTTTCAGGAAAATCACCCCTTAATTCATTCAAAATTAGGTCATATGACACTATTTGAAATACTATTGGCTTACAATAAAAGTTAAGTTTGACTCTACACGGGATAAGGCCACCCATCTATGCTTCCCTGGGCTGAACACAACTTGACTATATACGGTACTGTAAATTAAACACACACACACACACACACACACACACACACACACACACACACGCGCGAAAAAAAGAATGAAGCCTTACCAGAGTTTCCCAACTATTAAAGGGCCGGAGTTCTGTTATCTTCTGAGCCTTTTTCTGAGAACACTGAGGAATCAAAGTCAGTTCACCAATTGAAGCATCTTGGAGGAAGTGAAGAATTTTACCTTTATAGCCATCCTCCATCACTTCTTCACCACTACTATAGTCCTCATCTAGTGAACTACCGACATCAGAACCTGAATCATATTCAGAATCTTCAGCGACTTTCTTAGCATTAAATACATTTTTTTTACGTTTCTTGTTAAAACCATTTTGTGGTTTCATGGAAAATTTCTGTTTCAGTTTTGTTTTAGCTGTATTTTTAGGATAATTTTGATTCCTTGAAGAAACTTCTTTTCCATTTGGGACCTCACTTTGTGATGCATATTGCATATCTGTGTACAAAGGAAGACAAAAGTAGTAACTACATGAGAAATACATAAATATAAAGATATACAGCTTGAATTAGCATAAGAAAAATATAAGCATTTAGCTATTCCTTTTGAATACAAAAGAATTCAACTACAATTCGTTGTTAAATCTTAATACACTGTCACTGCAAGAGAAATGTTGAAAATTTGTAGTAAGTTAAAACAATCAGTTTCAAAACAAGGTGGCAATTTCATTTTAAACATGAATTCAATATAAATATCTGTTTTCTAAATGTCAGTTTCATATCTATAAATCATTTCAGATGCTGCTAGAAGCCCCATCTAACAACAACACTGATGAGTATAGCAAGGCAATGCTCCTCTGATTATGAGGCTAAAAAATTGTCTGGCTCCAGTATCCATATTATAATTAATTTTTCCATTGATACTTCCACTATTCTAAGCTCATCATTATGGAAACAAATTTTGTGAATATACTATTATCAAAGAGCACATTAGACTATATGATTAATCTATCATATTTCACAAAATTCTAAGACACCTATGAATGAAAGTAGTTACTTTATGTACTAGTAAGAAAGTATGCACTAATTAATCTAAAATACAATACAGTTGGCCATCTGTAAACACGGGTTCCAAATCCATGGATTTAACTATTCATGAATCAAAAATACTAGAAAAAAATTGCAGGAGCTGGGGACATAGCCCAAGTGGTAGAGAGCTTGTCTAGTAAGCATGAAGCCCTGGGTTCAATACCCAGTACCACCAGGGAGGAAAAATTGCATTTGCACTAATAAGAGTATACAGCATTTACACTGCATTAGGTATTACAAGTATCTAAAGATTATTTAAAGTACATGAGATGTGCATAAATGATATGCAAATACTGTGCCATTTTTACCATCAGCAGACTTTGGTATCAGTGGGGGTCCTGAACTCTCCCACGTATACTAAGGGATAACTACTTTAGTTAGAATGTTTATTCTTTTATTTTACTCAAAGAGCTCTCAGACTTGAGATTATCATACATTCATTCTTGTGCTCATATTAAAAATATAGTCAAAACAAACTGGATAAGGTATTTCTTAAAAAGAATTTCACATTCACAATCTGAGTCTTCTGAATCACATTTTGGATGTGTGACTGTGATATTGGTGGCTTTTTCCCCACACAGTATCATTCTTTATACAAGAATATTGGTAGCATGTTATTTCTTAAAAGTCATTTAAAAACACCTAAAACCACTGTGCAAGGCTTTTAAAGCTGGTGTCACAGTTATGAAGTGCTAAGTCTACTTGACTTCTTGCTTAAGGGTGTTATTAAACACATGCAATTCAACCCTGTCCCACCACCTCTGCCATTTTCTGGAGTTCAGAGTGTTCTACCACGGGTTGAGATGTTTTATCATGCTGATGATACCCATTAGTTTCTGATACTAGTGCTTTTCAAACTCATGCAACAGACACATCCACATCATAAGATAATACCAACTGCAAGATCCATCCTAACAGCTGTTAAAATAGTTCTTTTATATTCAACACGGCAGTTTAAAAGTAGCCCTAACTACCATAAAAGACTGTACAAACAGAAAAGGACACTTACTTATGATTTCATTGTATACCATCATAAAGAACAGGTCAAAACAGTAAGGAACTGATCATTTTCAATTTTTTTATATTATTTCTTCCAACATCATTTACAATTTCATTCTTTAACAGCATTCTTTACAGTGTACTATTTTCTCATATACTAAAATACAGAATATAATGGGAAGTATGTATTTTCTATAACAAAATAATTACCTTGGTCTTCTGCAAAAACTTTTAGAGACTCTAAAGCTTCTGTGTACATCCATTCATGTTCCTTGAGCACTTCTCTTAATTCCTAAAAATAAGTCACGGATCTTTCTGTTAAACCTTTGAAATTAGCAACTTCTAGAAATCATTTATGCTCTTTAAAAACTTAATCACCTGAAAACATAGAGAATTCATATCATTATTCTATATTTGTTTTTATATTGCTTTACGAATGTTTTCTATGTAATTTTACCTCTGTGAATCTACCATAATCTTCAAGGGAAGGAAGTTTCACTTTTTTGTATTTCTAGCTCTCCCCCAGGAAGTACTCTGGACATTGGAAGATCAAGAAATATTTTCTCAATTAAAAATGAAACTCTGAGTCGGGCACAAGTGGCTCACACCTATAATCCTGGTTATTCAGGAGGCAGAGATCAGGAGCATTGAATTTTGAAGACAGCCCTGGGCAAATAGACCCAACACCAAGAGGGCTGGCAGAGTGGTTCAAGTGGTAGAAAGCATGAAGCCCTGATAGTTCAAACTCCAGTATTACCAAAACCCCCCCAAAAAACCAGAAACTCTGCTGTGTAGCTAGGTTTTTACACACTGCTAACTTCAAAACACGTAAGTTACAACATATGCAAACAACAGCTCACCTGAATTCAGCAGACACATCACCTAGCATACACTGAAATATCAGCATACACTGAAATATCACCTTAGCATACAATGAAACAAATTAATGCCAAGGGTAAATACACTCCAAAGGATAAACAAAAATATGGGCTTTAAAATCGACCAAAAAGAGGCCCTTTTAGCACTGGCACTGACTGGGGTCTTTAATAATGTGCAAAGCATTCAATCCTATTATCTGAAAATAGAACAAAGCCCATGGAATACTAAGATATGAAATGCAGTATTATGGTTTAAATTTTCCACAAATGAGAACATTAAAACACTAAGCAGTTACTTCATGGAGGAGAGTTATACAAATGCAATACTGAGGTTTGAATTCAGAGTCCTGTGTTCACCATGCAAGTACCTGAGCAACATAGGAGCCCTTGTTGCTTTAGTTGATTTTTACCCAGGCTGGCCTCCCAAGTAGCTGGGATTACGGACATGTACCACCATGCCTGCTTATTTTTGAAGATAGTGTTTCACTACTTTTTTTTGCCTAGGCTAGCCTCAAACTGTGATCCTGCTATCTCTTCCTCCTGAGTAGCTGGGATTACATAAGTACACAACCCTGCCTGACCTCAGATGGCTTTTTAGATGACTTACATTTTATAAATGAGCTCACATTTTTTTTTTCCAGTACTGGGGGATCAGACCCCAGGCCTCGTGCATAATACTAGGCAAGTACTACTTTACCAAGCCTCTAGCTGAACTCACTATTTTTATTACAGTTATGTTTTCTATGAGTTTGGTTATAATGCTGATGCTATGATTAATAAATAATGTAAAGAATTAATAAGCAGTATAAAAACATTTTATATAATATTGAAAAAAAAAAGGAAAATACTTAATTGGCAAAATTTACCCTAAATATTTTTTATGGCTGAACTCAAACACTATGTTTTTGTTACACAAATATTTAATTCACATTGATTAAATTTCTCTATATTATTACTCACCTGTTTATCAAAATTGGGAAATTCCTTTTGCAATTTCAATACAATACTTTCCTGCTTTTCCCAATTACTGCTAGACTCTACAGACTCATTAGATTCTTCTCCCTAATGGGGAAAAGAAAAAAAAAGATAAAGAATCAGTTTAAGAGATCATTGGTGACAGTGATAAGTATTATATCTGTATTTTGACTTGGTTTGAAAACCATCACATTTGACCAGAAAAATTCAAGTGTGTCTTTTTCTCATGTAAATACTGACAAATTTATGTCTTTAAGGATAAAAAGTACTTCTGATTCACAATCACTGAAAGACCTAACTGCATATCCGTTAACTCAAGCTTTATTCACACATTATTCAAAATGAGACAAATCTGCTATAAAACTGGAATGCTCCTAAAATTAACTTAACAAAATTTATATATAGCTAATGGGAAATTTAAAAAGTGATGCAAGTATTCAATCTTTGCTCATAAGTTTACACTCACCTATAAATTTAAAATTCTGAGGAAAGTTTACTTTTATTTCGGTCTTGAGTCACAGAATGGTTTAAAAATCGCTCAATCACAACATAAAATAACACAATAATAAAAGGAACTCAAGTGGAATTGAACAGATTAATCTGAGAATAACTGTGGCTACACATATAAAATTTTACTTTGACTTATTTTTGAACTCATAGCTTCATGCTTGCTAGGCAGGCACTCTTATCACATGAACCACTCCACCAGCCCTTACTTTCCTTTCTGTCATTGAATCTCACCTGAAGGAACTGATCAGATTCTTCATTTAACCAAAAGACTCCATGTATTCATTATGTGTAGAAACAATCTTACAATCTAGTCAATGAAAACATTTACTCTGCTAAGAACTGTACCACATGTTATACAAACAAGATAGTCTTCCATTTTTCTTTTATCTCTTTTCTTACCTAACAGCTGAAGTATACTTTTCTCTTTCAGTAGCTAAGATAGAAATAACTAAATTGTGAGTGATGCCTCTCTTGCACAGATGAACAAGATGAAGTTCTTGACAGAGACAAATAAAATGCTTACAGAAGTGCTGGGAGTATAGTTCCCAGTGGTAGAGTGCTTGCCTAGCATGAGCAAGGCCCTCTTAGATTCCCAACACTATAAAGCAAACCAGAAAACACACCATGGAAGTTCATAATACAAAGAAAATTCCATGCATTTTAAAATAGGAGTGTAGTAAGCATGGACAGGCTATAAACTTGAAGAACTAAACCAGAGCTAACATTGTAGAAGGCCTATAAACAGGTGTCTAGTTCTAGACCAGTGTTTTTCCACTATATAAGTATACCTAAATTTCAGTTGTCCAGATAGCAAATACCTGTCCTTTTACATATATATACATATATATATATATATATATATAATATCTTGCAGCTATTGTTCCATCTTCAGAATACATACTTGGTGCAGACATACCTGGCAATGGCAGAAAGCACACATTAATTCTCTGACCCATGGAACGTGGGCCACTACTATAGGAAAATACCAAATTGAAGTTCCTAGAATTGCCTCCTCACTCAAAACAACAACAAGCAAGACTACATTCCTGAAGGAACTGCAGAGACTGACATTACCATCCCATCAAAAAAGCTGGGATGGGTCTTGGAGAATTATCTCAGAGTATCATAAACAATGAGGCAATGACCCCAATTGCATCTGCTGTACCAAATATGGGATTTTTACTGAAGCAAATCATCAACTATCAATCAGGCTAATCCTCCACATCCTCCACCACCCCAATCACAAAGGATAAGCACAAGTGATCTATTTTCTTTAGGGCAGCTTCAGTGTCTTTCACTGTCTTCAGAGTTACGGCACCTCTGCAGCATAATACAATATTCTAAGGACTGAAAGATAGTTTGCACAGTTCACAGATCACTTTGATCCACTACACTGAAGACATTATGTTGAATGGACTTGATAAACAGGTAGTGAGTATGTTAGAGGGCATTAGAAAGACATATATGCCAAAATGGGAAATAACTACTCTCAAATTCTGGGGCCCACTACTTCCATGAATTTTATGTAAGTCCAATCTGGAGTACGTTGTGAACTTCACTATACTAAAAAAAGAAAAGAAAATAGCTGTGCCTAAATCTGTCTTAAATTAAGACACATGGCTTGGTAGATGTCTTTGGCTACTGGAAGTGAGCTATTAGGGTGCGAACTGCTCTGATCCACTTATGAAATAACTCTTAAGATTGCCAGTTATGAATGGGGCCCAGATTGAGAAAGCTCTAGGGTACAGTAGGTAGCAGTAGCAGATCCAGGGTATACTTCAAGGTATTCTGTCACTTGGGCCTTGTGACCTGCAGATGCAATGATTTGCAAAAACTCTGAGGCAAGTAACGATGCTCTATGAAGTCTCTGGCAAGCCCCAAGATGGAAAACACAGCAGAGACAGTGATGGATTCCAAGCAAGGTCATACCCTCTTCTGCTGAGTAGGGTCAGTTCTGCTGTAACATAACAAGTGAATTTCCAAAAATTACTGCATTATTCCAAGTCATGAAAAAAATACAGTGTTCATGAAAAAAAAAAATCACCTTAGAGAAACAATGTTCAAAAACTTCACCTATTTTGTAAGAGAAAAGATTATTAAAATGATGGCACAATTTTATATACACTTGATGGTCAATACATGAGTACTGTACTAAATGTGAACTTTGCTAATGGATGTTGGCACTGGAAGGGTTACAGATTATGAGTTATGATGAAATGGTAGAAGGAAGGTTTCCGTCCACCTAAAAATGAAACAGCAGATATGGAGAAAAATGTATACTGTCTTCATGTTTTCTCTGCAATACTGCCGTAAAATAGAATTAGTAAGTGAGGTAACAAGTAAATAACACTTCTGCTGTTTTGCCAGTCTCTTTCACACTAATGCTGCCTATATGGTTCCAAATTCATCTGGACACAAGACTATTCTACTGCCTTCATTATTAAAGCTATTATCTTCGAGTAGTTCAACCGATTGCAGAGCACTTTAAAAATCTGTTAACTGGAGAGTTAGCCTGTCATGGTATAGCTTCTGGGCTCCTGAAATCATTGTTATTATCACCTGTACCTATATGACCATCAGTAGGAAGCTGTAGCATGACTTCTGTGTTAGATGACTAGGGTGGGCCCTAATAACTCTTGGATGTTTTTGTTTTTTATCTGTACAAATCCAATCTGTTCTCCTAGATCAGCACAGCTTGTTTGGAATTTTTAAAAATTTTCCCAAAGGATCAAATTTTCAAAATCAAGAATTAAGTCAATAAGGATTTTCTGCACACAAGACAAACACTCTTGTAATCATTCTAGGCTTCAACAGTGATAGCAATGGCCATTCTGGTAAATCTCTTCCAAAATTCTATAACCATTTTTAGATTCTCACCTTCAGTAATGAAAATTAACCTTACAAATGTTATAGTATAAGTTATAAATAGTCTGTTGTCACACAGTTATCAAGAGGCTGTATCACAGAGGCAGGGCTTTGTTGGTTCTGTTTTGAGACAAAGTCTTGCTATGGAGCCTAGGTTAGTCTCAAACTTGAGATTCTCCCACCTCAGCCTCCTGAGTACTAAAAACAGGTGGTTTTTGGAGCCAAAAGGTTTTAAAAATTAAATTTTTTGGAGGCTTACTGTTGTTGTTACAGCAATCCTCTATGACATAAAAGAAATAAGCAAAAACATCATTGCAACATGATAGTAAGCTGTACATTTCTGCTATACCAGAAGTGAATCCCAGGGCTGGATTCTGTGTAATCCAAACTTGTGTAAGGCACACAAGTTTGGTGAGTGATAAACTTCTACTGGATCCAGCTCCAATCCTCCAGTTGGCACTGGTGCTACATACTATCTTTTGGAACCTTAAATTCTGGTGCATGTTTTCTGTCTTTCAGATTTGGGTTCTTTGCGACATGCATTTAAGATATACTTGTTTTAGCCAGGTGCCGGTGGTTCACGGCTATAATCCTAGCTCAGGCTAGGAACAGAGATCAGGAGGATCCCAGTTTGAAGCCAGCCTGGGCAAATAGTTCTCGAGACCCTATCTCAAAAAACCCCTTCACAAAAGGTCTGGTGGAGTGGCTGAAGGTGTAGGCCCTGAGTTCAAACTCCAGAAGTACAAAAAGAAAAAGAAGAGAGAGAGATTATTTGTCTTGTCAAAACCAAGAATTCAATTCAATACACAGCTGCCAGTTTACTTATGTATCACTGCTAGAAGGTTCTTTTATAGTTTTCTCATCTGTACTAACTGCCAGGTTGGACAGCTCCAGGCTTATGAAAGTGTGCATTGTTTGAAGTCACTAAAGCAACCACTACTGGCACTAAAAGGACACATGTTCTGCAGGATACAGTGATTTCCATTTTAGCCTTTGTGTACAAATACAAAGATTTATGTGGAAAAAGTTGTTCCTGATCTTTTCACTCCTTGGTCTAGAATTTAAATGTTTAACAATCTTTTCTTCTATTTCTTTTTCTGTTTTGTTTTTGTTTTTGAGACAGGGTCTTACTATGTAGCCCAGGCTGGTCTTGAACTATAAATTCTCTTGTCTTAGCCTCCTGAGTGCTAGTATTACAGGTATGCATCACCACGCTCAGAAAACTTTCTTTTGAAGTACTGGATATTGAACCCAGGATCTTACAGATGCTAGGCAAGCATTCTGTCACTGAACTACATCTCTAGCCATGTTCTGTTTCTTTTATCCCTTACTCTTACTGACTTCATAGCACTTGAATCTGGTCCAGTCATATGCTTTTATTTTTGTGGCATTAGCTCTGATGTTCCACAGTGACATCCCTTTGTACTGATTGCTTTGGATCGCTCACATTTTCATTTCTTTCCATTTTCTTGTTACTTAACAAGATTGAATACTTTAAACATTTCTTTTGCATGCAGTGCATGGTGTTTTTGAACCAGAATGCTTATTAGACAGTTTGCGAGTGTCAAATGAAGGTTTTTTCCAAACAGAAAAGCTCACAAAGGTACAAAAGAAGATAACCTTATAGAATAATACACATGGCAATACATGAGGCAGCCAATAGATGTTTGAGGTGTGTTTTATATACTGTGTTCATATGTAGCTTGATTCAGCTGGATACAGGTTAGGTTTCTGTGTTCATCGAGTATTTTTCATGGATAAAACTGTACATAAACAAATGCAAATTTTGGGTTGCATGTAAATTGTTCTTTTGTATATTAATCACACTAGGACAAAGTCACATTTTAAAAATAGAACCCAGAGCTGGGGATGTAACTCATTGATTGAGCACTTGACTAACATCTGTCAGGCTCTCCTCGGTCATTAAAACAAGCAAACATCAACAACAAGAACTGTCTCATCTAGTTTTTTGAAACAATTCCAGGCTTGATAATAAATCCTGACAGAAGAATGGTTGACCACAGAACACTAAACTTGTGCTGTTACATGATCTGTGCATCTGATGCACAAAGCCTAAAATAGCACTGGCAGCAGCAGCAGCCCCTCAGGTAGAAATGGTGTGTGTGCAAATGGACCTAAGCAGTCTCCAGACATACAAATGAACTGCATGTACAGGTGGCTCAGACACTCGTGGTATCTACTTCTGCTTCACTGCTGGTCCATTTTTAACCAGTCTCTATAGGACTATAGGAAATTCATTATGGCCAGATAAAGAGATTAAAAAAAACATTAAACTTAATTTACAAAGAACACACAAAATTTTAAGAACTATTCACAAGTGAACAACTGCTAGAATGTAATCCTATTTAAGAGTGTTACACCCAAGCACCAGTGGCTCACACCTTTAATTCTAGTTACTCGGGAAGCACTGATCAGGAGGTACCTGGTTTGAGGTCAATCCAGGCAAGTAGTTCTTGAGACCCTATCTTGAAAATACTCAACACAAAAAAGGGCTGGTGGAGTGGCTCATGTGTTAGCTAACCTGCCTAGCAAGCACAATGCCCTGAATTCAAATCCCAGTACTGTTAAAAACAAAAAAAAAAAGGAGTTATAAAAGAGAAGACTAATTCATTTAGGTGGATTTTCAAATTTGATATCCATATTCAGCTTACTCTAATTTTGATATTACAATTGAAATAACTTACATGATCAAGTCTTGTCTTTTTTAAAGATTGATCATCATTAAATTCATCCTCCTCATATGGCTCTGAAGAAGATGATAATTTTCTTTTCCTGGGTCCACCACCTTTTAAAAGAGAAGCATACTCCAACTTTGCACAGAAATAATAAGAATCAATTTAATTTAAAACAAAAATAAAAATGTATTATAATGAATACCAGACAGTTCTCTTGATAACAGGCCTAATGTTCTTTCTTTTACGTATGACTAAATTGAAGGAAAAGTGAAACTCTTTGCAGTCTTCTCAAAGTAGAAATCCTCATTATACTCTATTTGTAAATCATTAGTAAACATCAGTAATGCTAAAAATATTGTCTTCAAACAGACATTCATTTTACAGAGTAATATTGGGAGGGAGGTTTTCTCCCCAGAGACTTAGTGTTCAGCAGTGAAAAAAGCTGAGCCTCATCAAGTTTAAGCAATCCGAATGGCATCACAGACACCAATAATCGCATACTATGTACCAGGCTTTGCATCAGGTCTTTTATAAACTATTTTACTTACTTTGTACAATAAACCTACACAGAAGTCAACATTTTTATTCTACAAATGAAAAGGAACTGGGATTTAGAGCTCAAATAATTAATACTTTTAACCTAAAAACCAACCAGGTATAACACAATATACCAGTAATAGGAAATCTGCATATTCTGGCATGACTGAAAACAAAACCAAATGCAAAGCACACGATCTTAAGAACTTACACTATGTACTTTGCAAGCCATTTATCTATTTCTTAAATACTTTCAAAAAGCAAATTCCTTAGACATATTGCTAAGATAATATAAAAATACTACTGAAGCCTGCAAAGATTAGGATTTCAGCATTAATTCTGCCACAATCCTAACTATGCAGTTTTGCAACCTTCAAAATAAGTACGTACATAACAACTTTCTGTCCTAAGCTTAAAAATTTCCTAACATGGCTGTTAACAACATGAAACTGAATGTCACAATGATTTTAAGGCATAGTAATCATGTTAGTATAAATATTTAAATGTTTCCTCCTGGCTTATTTCATAATTAAAATGTCCATTCTGCATATACCAACTACTTTACAGTGTTCACTTATAAGGGGAGAAATACAAACAATGCATTATCACCCATATAGTTGCTGCAGTAAGCACTGTTAGTAATATCTTAAGTGCGGAAAAAAATCTTCAAAGTAGAGAATTTATACCATGTCACCTAGACATGATTAATTCTTTTCCAAGAAGGAGACACAACTGAAGAGGTTCCTTCTTTTTTCTTTTTGGTGGGACTGGGGTTTGAACTCAGGGCTTTTCACTTGCAAGGAAGGCACTCTACCACTTGAGCTATACCTCCAGTCCATTTTGCTCTGGTTATTTTAGAGATGGAGTTTTATGAACTATTTGCCTGGCCTGACCCTGAATTACAATCCCCTCCCAATCTCAGCCTACTTAGGAGGCTAGAATTACAGGTGTTAGCCACAAATGTCTGGCTAAGAGATTTCTTTCTTTCTTTTTTTTTTTTTTTTGTGGTACTGGAGTTTGAAATCAGTGCCTAACACTTGCTAGGTAGGTGCTCTACCACTTGAGCTACTCTAGTAGTCCTTTTTCCTGTTGGGTATTTTTGAGATAGGGTCTTGTGAACTACTTCTCTGGACTGGCCTAGAACAGCGATCCTCTTGATCTCTGCCTCCCGAGCAGCTAAGATGCCTGGCTAAGAGACTTCTTCTTGACATAAATAAATCAACATTTTCATCTTGTAAGCAGAGCAAAAATTTTGGATTTTTGGGGGGGTTTATTTTTGGCTTTTAAATTTAGTATTCATAAATAAAAACGTTCAAAAGGCACTATATAAAAGTAACTTTATTATTTAATATGCAGGGTGATATTGTGTATAAGATTTTAATTTGTAGTAAAACCAGTGTCCAATGTCATGACCTATGTGGATATTTCCAAAATTGCTTACAGATATTTAAAAAGCCTTTTGCTGAAAAGTCCTAAAATGTCAAAAAATAGCTTTCTGTCTTAATATATAGTATACTGAAGATTACTTTATCTTCAAGCTAGACAAAGCTGTATATAATACCTTGATGTATATACACTACTAAAAATGAGGTGTCTGATATGATTTCCCTGTCCACTCCAAGATTTAGCAAGTTTACTTAAAAAACAAGAAAACCCTGTAGGGTGCCGGTGGCTCACGCCTGTAATCCTAGCTACTCAGGAGGCAGAGATCAGGAGGACTTGGTTTGAAGACAGTCTGGGCAAACAGTTGACACCCTATGTTGAAAATACCCAACACAAAAAAGGGATGGTGGAGTAGCTCACATAGTAGAGTACCTGCCTAGCAAGTATGAAGACCTGAGGCCAAACGTCAGTACACCAAAAAAAAAAAAAGTAAATAAAATTAATGATTAAGTTGAATGATGTGAACTGCTTCAGAGAAAAAAGATTAGCACTACAGTGGAATAGTTATTCTATAATCTGTTTTCAATAGCAAGATTATGAAATAGTGTGAAAGTAGGAAAGAATATGTAAAATTTCCCATGTCATTATGCAACTCAGCAAAGGTTAACTGAGTCTATCACTTGTCAGGAGCTTCTGAAATAACTGCTAGGGATACAATAACAAGGAAGATACACTCAGCCTTTCCTTGTAGCATTTTCTGTCTTGCATGGCCCCTATAATAAACCAGGCATCATAGTAAGAAAGTGAATTCACTTTTTCAGTTCTTCACAACAGCCTATGAGTTAGCACTATTATTATTATTTACTTAATTAATTTTATTTTATTATTTAAATTTATTTTAATTATTATTATTTATTATTATTGTTATTATTCTACTGCTAAGGAAATAAACACACAGAAGAGTTAGGCAACACTGCCCAAGGTCACACAGCTAGTATGTGGAAGACAAAAAAGAATCTTGACATTTTGTGTAGATAGCATCCACACAATACTGTTTCCTCACTCAAACTCAAGGTAAGCATTTCATATGGATGAAATATCACATTTAGAATCCACATAAATGTTTATGGGAAAAAAGTCATGAAATTAATGCTCCAGGGAGTCAAAGGAATGCCATGAAGTCATTTTTTTTAAACTAGATAAACCTGATTGAACTGACAAGCTACTGATCATAAATTAAATGACTTTATAAAAATGTAACTCAGGATTTTTACATTTTGTAACCTAGAGTGTGTGTGTGTGTTGTATACTGATACATATAAATACTGGAAAAGAATTGAGAATGAGGTAAAACAGATATGTACATGCCTGTAACTGCAGCATTCAGGAGGTTGAGGTAGGAGAATTGAGAGTTCAAGGCTGGTCTGGACTACATAGTGAGACCCTCAAAAAAAAAAAATCAAATAAAAATGTAATAGCAGTTAATGGATTGTAGGTTTACTTTCATTGCTTACTTTAACTGCTTTTTTGGTAGGCTTACAAGTGATTTCTATTTGTATTATTTTGATATGTACAAATTAAGGAAAAACTGAGACAGCATTTGGTAAAAATATTGGAGATGTTTTTATACTGCAAGTTCCATTAAAAGAATTTTTTTAAATATCAGAAGCCTGAAACATAGTATAAATATTTACTCAATGAAGAAAATGCTGACTACCAACTAGGACTTTCCACAAAACATTATGTTCCTACTGACTTATATTGGTAGACCCTTAAATAAAACCACAATGCAGTTAGAAAGGATATTTAAGAGAAAAAAAAACCAAACACCAAAGAAAATACACCTACCAAAACTTTGCTGTTATGGGACTTGATCTATAGAAAACAAGCAAAATTACCAGGGAGAAACTGTTCCTTTTTTTTGTAGGGAAAAAAAAAAAAAAAAAAAAAATCAACCTAGAAATTTGTTTCCCAAATAGCTGTATAACCTTGGTTAAAGTTACTTAACCTTCTCAAGCCTCAGCTTCTTCATATAAAAAATGGAAGCTACTAATATTTCACAGGTTCTTTTAAGAATTCACGAGGATGCTAGATAAATTGCAGAACAATGAGAACACAAAAAAGCAATAAATCCACATGACTTAAAATTAAGTCAAGCATACCTGCATCACCAAACATCAGCAAGGCAGCAGCAATTGCTCCATCCATAGTGCTTGTTGATTCAATTAACTATCAATGAGAAAAAAATAAATGTTTAAAAAATATCACCCTAAGAATCAGCTCACAAAGCTCTTGAATTATTTAAGAAAAAACTTATCAACTATTATACAAAGTGGGCTTCTGTGTAACAGTTTAAGTTCATTAAGTCCTATGATAAATTTTCAGAAAATCTGGTTTAAAAAGTCTTAACTTATGAGTATATATTAAAAATTTATCCAATTTACTCACCATTACTATAAAGAAAAATTAAAACATAATCAAAGATTTACAATATATTCCAGGTTTTTTTCATTTTTGTCATTTTAATTACAAGATTTTGCCAGGACACCTTCAAAACTTCCTATTTCTGTTTTCAACAAATGTGTATATGAAAGAGGGAGAAGAGAGAGATGTGGAGAGGATGGAGAAGGACTGACATTTATCTTCCTTTTTTCTGAATTTTTGGGAAAAAGAAGCATAATTCTGCTCTTTGAAAAAAATTTAATCCTACTGGGCACTGGTGGCTCACATCTGTAATTTTATCTCTCAGGAGGCAGAGATCAGGAGGATGGCAGTTTCAAAGCCAGCAGGGCCAATAGTTCATGAGACCCTATTTTGAAAACATAAAAAGGGCTGGTGGAGTGGATCAAGGTATAGGCCCTGAGTTCAAGCTCTGGTACTACTACCACCACCAAAAAAAAAATGAATCCTTTTAGGATAAATGAAATAAAAGACTTGATTTCTCTATTTCTAGATTATTTGAAGTTTTGTAAGAACATAACCATACACTATTTATGTAACAATTTGGGGGAGGTGTTTTGGTTTGGGATTTTTTTGAGGGGGCAGCATAGAGTCTGGACTCCTACTTGTTGGGCAGGTGCTCTACCACTTGAGCTTCACCCAGCCCTCTGTGCTTTAATTTTTCAGATAGGGATGCACTTTTGCTAGGGCTGATCTCCATCTGATTACATGTATGAGCCATAGGTGCCTGACTCATACTAGTTTTTCTTGATCTTGGATCCTCAAATATCTTTTATAAGCCTCTCTTTATTTTCAAAAAAGCCAAAACATATTCTGATCAAGCTTAAGACTAAATTTTTATTTCACAATTTTTTGATTATCACCTTTAAATCACTTAAGTTGGCTGGGGTCACTTGAAACACAGACTATCTCAAGAGTGCTCTACTGCAGGACTAGTGGAGCCCAGCTCCAGTGAGGAGTGCTTTGACTGGACGTTCACTTTGACTGGGATGTCTGAGGTTCAATCCTAGTACCATAGGGTGGGGGCGCAGTGTTCTGCTCTGGAGTAATGTGTTAAATTTCCACAATTTCAGGTAATTTCAAATAAAACAGGGAAAGAAACTATGCCTATCCTGTATTTTTCCACCAAGATGTTAAGACTAGAGAAAAATATTTCTAAAGGAAAACAAAATCCCTTTGAAAACTAGTCCTTCAAGCTGAGGTATTTGTTCTTTAATGCTGAATGTTCTTTAATGCTGAATAGTTTAGCATGCCATCATGTTTACTCCACTGGACGTTCTTTTCTTACTGTTACTTTCCTACACTGTAATAGTCCCTTAGCTATTAGTGGCAATGTTTCTTCTTCTTTTTTTTCTTTCCTTCTTTTTTTTGAGATAGGGTCTCACTATATCTGACCTGAAGCTCACAATCCTCCTTCCTCAGCCTCTTGAGTGCAGAGACTATAGGCATTCCCCACCACTCTCAGCTTCCTTTTGTTTTTAGTAAATAAAATCACATCAGCAGTCAGGTAATACTGACTGGCAAGGAAAAATGTAGAATAAATACATTATTAAAGTTTCATTTGGCTAATAGTAAGGTATCATCATGATTTGGCAGAAAAAAATGGTAATTCACATTAAAATTAACAGAGAAAAATGGAGTAATTTTAATCTACCCGTTACAGTTCCAACTGGCAGGTGCAAGACCACCTGTATTTCAGACATGTTTTATTTGTCTTGAACAGTATTTGTTTTTGTCTTTCTTTAAATTGGTTAGATTGAAGAGATCAAAGTACACACTGTAACAGGGATGAATCTCAAAATCTTAAGTAAAAGAAGCTAGTCACAAAATATCACATAATGTATGTTAATTATATGAAATGCCCAGTGGGGGAAAATCTATAAAGATTAGATTAAAAAGAGGATGGAGTTCCCGGCAGTAGAGTGCACATGTCAGCATGCTTGAGGTGAAAGATTAGTGATTGCCTAGGACAGGGAGGAGAGGAAGGGCAATGAGAATGACTGCTAATGGATACAATGTTTCTTTTAGGGATCATTAAAATGTTTTAAACTTAGATGATGATGGTCACTGCATAACTTTATAAATATAATAAAAAACCACTGAATCGTAGATTGTAAATGAGTGATCTTTATAGCATATGAATTATAGCTCAATAAGCTATTAAATTAGTGACAACCCTAAATAAAATACAGCCTTTGACTTTATTTGAAAAAATCTAAATATCTACCAATGGGCAATTATTGACAGCTCACATGGTCATATCCTATGGCAGCAAAGCAATAACTACCCCTTTTTAGAAAAAGCATATACTCTCTAATACACCAGTGACCACCTCCTCTTCAAAGTTATGCCTAGGCCATATGGATATATCAACTTTTAGCCTCAGATTGTGGGGAAGCAAACTGGTGGTAGTGATGACAGTTAACAAAGGTGAAAAAACTAATGAAGCAAATTAAATTAGGACTGGAAGTGTAGCTCAGAGTGCCTGCTTTGCAAATGCAAAGCTCTGAGTTCAAACTCTAGTCCCACCAAAACAAACAAACAGGTCACCAGAACTTACAACCTACATGGGCTAAAAAGGCTCAAAATTATTTCATTACTTATAAGTGAATAGTCAGCTATTAATGAGTTAAGACACTCAATAAATAATTTTCTGGCATTTATCTGTATTACATAAATTAACAGTTAATAATTACCTTCAAACATAAGATACCTTTATTTAGAAAAATGACCATTCATTGGATTCTGGAGAAATTTTTGTCATCATTACGGCTACAAGAACTAATTACTATAAAAGGCACAACCTTAAGTAAATCATTGTCACTTCTTTGTGGAAAAAGTTCCTTCAAGGTCTGAAGCTTGGCATCTTTAAGATCTTCCAATTCTGAAAGATCTTCCAGTTCTGAAATATCATCATTTCTTCGTGCCACGGAAGGAAGGCCTTGGGACTCTTCATCTTCAGATGGTTCAGAACTAAGAATATTTCCAGACAGGGAAGAAAAAAGTTTTTAGCATGTTACTTATGCTTCATAATTATAGTGTTTATGTATGTGTATGTAATACAGAATATCTGCAGGTCTTTTCAAAATTAAATATGACCGCTACCTGTCAGAGTAAAGGAACTTTTTCTCATTTCAAGACAGTTATGTATTGAATACAATACATAACTGTATTGTATACAATATAAAAAGTTTGCATATAATAAAAATGTTTACAATATAAAAAGTTTGTTTTGAGGCAAACTCTCCCTGTAAAACCCAGCCTGGGCCTGGACATCACAATCCTCCTGGATGCACCATCACACCCAACTTAAAAGTCACACCCAACTTAATGGAATGATACCATTCCGTTAAGTATTTCCCCCAGGAACAAAATATCTCAGCAAACAGGAAGCATTTACTTCATATAAGGGTTTATTCTCCAATAACTAATTTTAACACTGCTCCATTTTGTTTTATACATTAGACATTTAGAGTCAAATTTAACTCGTTTATCCACCAAATCAAAAAAAAAAGCTCATTTTGAAATTTTGATTTTCTAATGGTAGATGTTCTAGATATCAGTCAGAACAGTAACAAATGGATGGAAATGTTAATATCACAGAAAGACAGCAATGTGGAATATAATTACAAATATTCCTAAAGTCAGTGATGCAGTCGTTGCTAGGCAGTTAATTCTATTTTTAAACAGCTCTCTTATAAGTGTATCCAAAACATGTATTTTGTAACTTTTCAATACATATTCATGTTACTTATATTTGTCATGTAGGGCACTGGTGATGCATAAAAACCACCTAAGAACATTTAAAAGCAAATTCCCAAGAACCAGAAATGTGTATTTTAAAAATCTACTTGGCTGCCAGGCACCAGTCACTGACGCCTGTAAACCTAGCTACTTGAGAGGATGAATTCAGGAAGATTGAGATTGAAGCCCGCCCAGACAAATAAGTTTGTGAGACCCCATCTCCAAAATAGCCACAGTAAAATGGACTGGAGGGGTGGCTCAAGTGGTAGAGTGCCTACTTTGCAAGCCTAAAGTACTGACTTGTGTATCCTTTCCATTATTATACTCAGACTTCTCACTCTTGATGCACTCAACCTTAAACTCTCATTCTGTCTCACTACTCTCACTGCTCCTTACTTGACTCTGTCTCCTAATAAAGACATTCCGGTTAAAATTCTTTTACAACTTCTGCCCTGCATAACTACCTTCAAAGATCTTTACTCTTCTGACTGTCCTTATTATTACATAATGAGACTCAACCATTCATGGTGGGACTACCTTGTACCTCTTGATGTAGTATTACTATTTACCATTAGTCCTATCATGCCTCGAATTTAACTTCCAGTTTACAAGAAGAATAAATTATATAAAATTATGAGAAGAAACAAAAAAATATTTCTCTAAGAAAAGACTTCTCTTTAATAAGCTAAAAATCATCAAAAAAGAGAAGGGGTGGTGATGAAGTATTCCTGACCAAAGGAGAGTTGAGTCATGATATCCAAATGCAGTAGACATTTCTTTGTTGAATGTAGTTTGAAAAAAGCTACAAAATACATAAAAATATGAATATAAATGAGAAATTAGATGATGTTAGAGAATTCCTCATTGGTAATAGTACTCATTTTTTTGTGGGAAGGCAGATGTATAACTACGTCCCAAAGAGAGAAATGGTGAGATGCCTGTAACTGTAACTTATTTTAAAATACTTCAGTTAAAAGTAGTAATAAATGAACCAATGAACAAATGGAGAAAACAATTGTCAAATCTAGGGGAATAGGAGATGGGTGTTCATAATATACTATTTTATTTTCCTGTATGCTTAAAATTTTAAAAGTAAAAGTTCTAAGAACAATAGATTTGGACACTTGATCTTTTATCTGGTCTCAGATAATTTTTTTTTTTTTGTATTACTGGGGATTGAACTCAGGGCCTCATGCATTGTAGGCAAGCACTCTTAACACTTTTGTTGTTTGAAACAGGGTCTTACTACCTTTGTTTGGGCTGTCCTTGAACTCACGACCTTCCTACCTCAGTCCCCTGAGAAATTACTTCTTGAAGGCAAAGGCATTCTATACAAACAGCCCTTTGTATTTCCTTCAGGGTCTTACTTTAAACTAAATGTCATCATTCTCCAGAATCTTTTCTCTCTATAAACTTTTCCTTGTAGGCCTATAGTATGTTCAAGACTGCATTCATAATTAGCTCAATGTGTCAGGAGTTCCAGCACTATGGAACTACTTTAAATCTGATTAGACTGATTTTCTAATTCTTTACTTCCTACATAGTCTCAATTTACTGTTTTTGTATCTTTTGCACCACTATTTCAGCAAAAACTGCTCTAAGAACAGCAATGCCGTCTACGCATCGACTGTGGTAAGAACTTCTCACTGCTTATCTAAATTTTCCTCTATGGTCCCACATTGTTGACAAACTTATGCTCAAAATTTTGGCCCCACTTCATGGGTTCTGCAACACTATTTCTAATTTTCTGATTAGCTTTCTGTTCTTAATTTTTAGAATAGGTTCTTTTCTCCTTTGTTTACTTTTTTGAATTGCTGAAGTTAGCTAGGATTTTGTCCTCAGTTCTTTCTCGTTTATATATTCTTCCCTGTATACTTTACCAACTGCCAGAGCTTCTGACTAATACCTGCATCAATGGTCCTCAAAGGGGGATGATTTTTGCTGCCAGTGGACATTTGGCAACATCTGGAGACATTGTTGATTATCTTTTTTTTTTAATATGGAACGCTTCACGAATTTGCATGTCATCCTTGCGCAGGGGCCATGCTAATCTTCTCTGTATCATTCCAATTTTAGTATATGTGCTGCCGAAGCGAGCACATTCACTCTTGATTATCTTGATCTGATAGGTACTTTACTGGCATTTTGTGGGTAGAGGTCAGAAATGATGCTAAATTAACCATATCTCAATGCAAAGGACAGACCTTTAGAACAAATTATCTCCCCTTAAACGTCAAGGTTAAGAAACCCTGATAACCAAAATGCTCATATATGGGTACTGACTCAATAAACTAAGGAACATTCATACAATGTAATACTGTAGGGTTGAAAAAAAGACTAAAGATCTCTAGGAATTAATACAGTTTCCTGCATATATAATGTTAAGTGGGTAAAACAAAGAACAAATAAACAAAGACACATATGCACAGTAGTTCCTCTTGTCCATGATTTCATTTTCCAAAGCTGCAGTTACCCTCATCCAAAAGTGGCCCGAAAAATTAAGTAGAAAATCCTAGAAATAACTATTCATAAGTTTTAAATAAATTTTATTACAGAATATTGTTAATCTCTTACTGTGCCTAATTTATAGATTAAACTTTATCACAGGTATGTATGTGTCATAAACAATGTGGTACATACACAGTTTCAGACATCTACTGATGGCTTAGAGTATATTCACAGATAAGAGGGCACTACTCTAAAACTGCAGTTTGCAGTCTTTTGTGTAAAAAATAATAAATACATGAAAGAAAAATGAAATATGACAAGCGTGTTAGTTCTGAAATGGGAGGGGTATGGAGCTGGAATGCACAGGGAGTGAGGAAGTAACATTTTTCTAAGCATATCCTCTGTAGTTTTGATTTTTGGTATCTTAATATTTTTAATGCTAAAAAAAAGGACAATGGAAAAAAATCCTAAAATGAATATAAGCAGAAATTAATGAACCTAATTATATTTCAAATGAGTAACACAGGAAAATTTAAATAAACAATCCAAGTGCTTTGAGTATATTCCCTCATTCAAAATAAAGCTTACAAGTTTTGAATTCTATTTAGTGGATTTAATAGTTATATGGTATGGATAAAGCAATTCTAAAATTATTTTATAAGCATTTGATAACTGAGTAAATTAGTAAATAAATTTTTCCTTGTCAGAAGAAAATATAGAAAAAGAGACAAGAAAAAGCCCTGTAGTACAACTGCAGGTATGGCTCAAGCAGTAGACTGCCTGCTTTGCAAGCATGAAGCACTGAGTTCAATCCCCAGTCCCACCAAAAAAAAAAAGCCCTGTAGCAATAGATTAGAATTAAGGTATTAATAAAAATAAATAAGCTAAAATATAACACACACATTTTTCCCCTCTCTGAGATCTTAGGTCATTCTATTGAATGGGCAATTCCATAATCCTCTACCTCACCTAATAGCAAAGAAAGAACACACTGTATCCCCATATTTCAAAATACCATTCCCTATTAAAAGGAACCAGAGCTACTTAGAAAAATGGCTAATTCTAATTTCAGGTATAGGACAAGGAAAGTACAAGTCTGGAACATCTTTTGCCAGAAGGGAAAGGCTCAAAAAATGAGAAGAATCCCTGAACAGATAAAACAATCTGTTTGAAGGAGCCCTCATCTGCCAAAACGAAACAATTTGTACATCAAAACGAATAATGATAGTAATAAATTATGTCACTGAATAAATAAGCACTTATATTTCCATGTTATCTACTGTACTATAAAATATATAAATAAATGCATGAGAAGAGAAACTTTATAGAATATGAAATAATAAATGTATAAATTCTAGACTGCCAGTCAGAATACTACCATTTCATAATTATTATTTTCAAAACTCAGGTAAGAATCAACAGATACTAAAATTATTGAGTGAAAGGAAACAGGATCATTACCCAGTTTCAAAGCACCTCTTCATAGGATTACTTAATCATTACAAAGGGAAAATAGACATTATAGGGAAACCTAGCTGGGACCATGAAAACAAAGCTATAAAAGTTTATTCCACCAATACAATTGGACAAATGTAAGCATGCTGAAACACACACACACACACACACACACACACACAAATCATTCATGTGTTATCTCTTCCATTTAACATAAATTTAATTATGAAGAAACATCAGGCAAACCCAAATTTAGAGACATTCTAAAAAAAACTGTCTTGTTACCTTCAAAGCTGAGAATCATGAGAAACAAAAGACTGAGAATTAAATGAGAGACAAGAGATAAGACAAACTAAATCTAATGTATGATGCTAGGGAAAAATTAGTATAAAGTACTCCTAAAAATGTGGTCTTTAGGCCTAACTGCAAGTCCTCCAACTCCAACTGCTTACCTGTCCATGATAACATAAGCAACTTATACCAGAAAATAAAAGTTATATTACTAAGAACATTGGTTATTTCACCTGACTTTTTTTTTTCTCCACTGCAAGATTTTCTTAGTGAAGGCAGTCAGTAGCTTGATTTACATCCTAGGGCATATTCCTTATTCACAAATTAGTATGTTGAGTAGCAATGCTAAAAAGGGCATTATTAGGATAAACTAACTGGTACAATCTAACTGGTCATATTGTACCAATTAAACCAGAGTTCTGAATTTAAAATACTACTGCTATTATGTAAGTGAAGGACCATGTTCTTTGCACATAAATGCAAAAATATTAGAGACAATATGTTCAATAATTATTTTTTATGAAGACGATGATGAGTGAAATGCTAGTAAGTGACTCTTCTTGCAATGACTGTGGGAATTGACTATATATTTTTTTGCTACTTTTCTATAAATTTAAAACTTTTTCAAAATAAGAATTAAAAAAAGGGCCAGATGACAGTGGCTCATGCCTAAAATCTTAGCTAGTCAGGAGGCAGAGATCAGAAGGACCGTGATTCAAAGCCAGCCTAAGCAAATAGTTTACAAGACCTTGTCTCAAAAAAGCCCTTCACAAAAACAAACAAAAAAAACCCTTCATTAAAAAAAAAAGGCGGGGGGGGGGGCTGGTGCAGTAGCACAAAGTGAAGGCCATGAGTTCAAGTCCCAGTACTGCAAAAAAAAAAAAAAGAAAGAATTAAAAAAGGACAGGATGAAGGAGACTAATACTTCTATTTTTCTCAAGATTAATCAGGTTGGAGCTTCACTATTTTCTATATCAGAGTGAATTTCAGGATGAGCCATGCTTACCATGGCTTTTTGTAGAAAGTTCTAATTTAAGAGTAAGTCCTCACTGTCAGCAATAGACCAACGCAATCTCTTGTTTCTTCTTCCGACAATTTCTTCACTTAGCTTCTAGATCACATAACCTTTTGACTTATCTCAATGGGTTGTCCTTATAACCTTCTATAGGTTTCTTCTCATCTCTCTGACTTTAAGTCTAGAGTTCACCTGGCCTAAGCTAAGTATTTCAATGAAGAGGGCTTCACTTACCCAGTTGCACTAGTTGCCTGTGGTAATTTATTATAATCATATGGCTTTATAAAATCAAATAACACTCAGAAGACAAAGGCAGAGAGATCAGGAGTTCAAGGTCAATCTGAGCTACACAGTGATACTCTGTCTCAAACAACCAATGGCTGTGGACGTGGATCAGTGGTACAGAACTTGCCTAGCACAGGTGAGGCCCTGCTAAATAAATAAATATATACATAAATAAATACTAGATAAATACTCTGGACTACTGAATTTGGACATGAAACCTAGACTTCTCCCCAAAATTCAAATGTCAGAAATCCAACTATCTGGATGACATCTCCACATACACATGCATACACACTGTACATACCTCTCCATGTCTGTAAGTCTAGGAAAAATAACCAAAATGCAGTCAAGGAAAGGCCAAAGGAGCAGGGGAAAGTCACCAAAGTATTTCAAAGTTAAGCATTAATCCTTTACATATATAAATATTAATCTATTAAGTGGCTTACACTATAATCACTGTGTCTTTGTTAAATTTTTTCTCTTGCACTGCATTGGAGCAATTTGGGGAAACAACATCTTCACTATCAGAAGACAAATCAATATACTGTATTCCTCTTTCATTCTTGAAACATGATACACTTGCTTTTCTTTCGTTATCTGGAGGTTCTGGAACACTAGAATCTTCTGCAAAAGGAAAAAAAAAAGACATTCTGAGCAACTCAAAGACACATTTGTTTTCGATAATTACAATCACGAGCTAAAAATCCCTAATCCTGCACCTTGTTTCCATTACAAACCAAAAATGGTTCCCACTTTATTTTCCTCCAGTCACTTTTTAAAGAAAAAATAGTCAACCCAGATTGGTATTAAACAATTTTCCTTGACAGTTTGTTTACTATCAAGACCTTAGTGGAGGGAACTTTTGCCCCCATTTCCTATGTGGGGAACAGGAAATGTTTCTTTTTCCTCTCCCCACTTCTTATCTGTACTTTATCCTGTTATATTAAAATAAATTCTTGCAAGAATTAAAAAAAAATTTTTTAAAAAGACCTTAGTGGACCTTGCAAAATAGGTTTGTTTTATATTCTAACCCTTTTCTCTGTGATTTTTACCTCCTAACACTCAGTTCCTACCAGGGAGATCTTGGACACCAGAGCACAAAAGACTTGGATTCTTAATCTCTCAATCTTTCTAAGCCTTAGTTTCCTCATCTGTAAAATACAGAAGCTAATTATCGGAAGAAATATTCATAGAAAATGGTTATATATAAAGTGCTTTAAGTTTAGCAAATATCATTAGCCAACATTCTATAAAAATTAGTGTCCGTGCTAATGTTGGTGTTAAGGGTTGAACTGTGTTTCCCCCTCCCCCACCGTTTCATAGGCTGGTCTCAACCACCAGGACTTCAAAATCTAATTGTTGAGACAAAGCCTTCAAAGAGGTCATTAAGGATAAATGATGTCACATGGGTGGGCCCATATGCCTGGCATTTGGAGACACAGCTTCAAAGAACTAAGCTAAAATGAGCACTTCAGGGTGGGCCCTTGACCTAATGAGTGGTGTCCTTGTAAGAAGAGACATCAGGGTTGCCAAAGGAGGCCATGTAAGGACATGACAGGGAGTGGCTACCTTATAAGCCAAGGAGAAAGCCTCAGAAGAAATTGACACATTGATCTTGAACTTCTTGTCTCCAAACTGTAAACTTCTGTTGCTGAAGTCACCTAGTCTGTGGTATTTTGCTATGGCAATCCTAGAAAATCATATATTTGGTATCCTCTTTGAAAAAGCAGGTCAGTAAGGTACTATAACAAGATCGCCTCTCTCCAGGGAGTACACTCCAAAATTATTACCCCTTCTCCTAGGAAAACCAGTATTTTCCCTTCTAACATCTAGAGAAGGGCTCACATTTAAGAACTTCATATTGAAATAAAAACACTGTGATGGTCCAATTAATTAATTAATTAATCATAAAAATGAATGATTAGATGAATCTTGAGTTCAAAGGTTAAAAAACAACAGATGCCATTAACTCCCTTTTTTTAATTGTGCTGGGTGAAGGTACACTGGGGCATTTATAAAAGTTCTTCAATGTAACGAATGTGTCATCCTTGGATTCACCCCCTCTACCATTCTCCTTTATACCCTCCTCCTCCTCCATTAACTACTTTCCAAGTTATTTTCAAGTCCTGAAGAAACATCTAATCCTGACAATCACCCTGAAGGACACAAAACTTATCACCATTTTATAAATAAAATAAAGGGTAAGAGTGAAAAAGCACCAAGCATACTGGCCTGCAGGGCTGTAATTCATGCTTAGAAGTCTGAGTCAGAAGGATAGTGGGTTCCAGACGAGCATGGGCTGCACAAGGGGACATTGGTCTCAAGAAAAAGTGAAAAAAAGCAACTTGCTTATGAAAGCAAATTCAAAAGAGAAAGTAGATCTAAAATCCAAAATCTGGAAGTTGTTATAACCCAAAATTGTTTGCCTCCCCAACTTACTGTCACAAAACCATAGCAACCACTATTATGAGTACTCCCTCCCTTTTTTTCTCAGTGTTGGTGCTTGAACCCAGGGCCTTCCACATACTAGGCATGCTAGGCAAGCACTCTACCACTGAGGCACATCCCCAGCCCAGCCATTATTATGAACCAAATAGTTCATCTAGGTTTATGAAAAACTCATGACTTTTAAACAGATAAAGAACCACAGGAGAATTTTTACAGCCTTTTTAGATTTCTGTGGATTTTTTTTTTAACACTAAACCCAAATTTGACAGGTAGCATTTTCTTAAATATGGAATGTGAAATAATTTGACAAAACATTTTGCATTGTGTTATATTAAATCTACTGGTCAATTCTGCATTTTAATGAATCTTGAACCCATGCATTATTTTGTAACATTGTGCTTTGCTATGTGGAAAACACTGGCACACTGAGTAATGTATATTTTCCAAATGTTGATACATTTCATGATATTAAAAAAACAACACAAAACTACATTTGTTAATACCACTACTGAGCTCATTAGACAGTATTTGGAACCTGTCAAACTTAAAATTGTGGATACTAGTTTTCCAGAGTTAAACATTCTTTGAAAACTAGAATTTATCACCAACAATACTGTGTGTTGTTCTGTTATCACCTTGATCATTTTTGAGAAACTGCCAAATACCAAAGTCTGTACAACCAGTTTATCATCCATTCTTTCAAGTAAAAATTGTGTTCCTTGAGAAAATGACTAGTTAACTCAAAGTAATTGCACAAATGCTCTTCCTTGAGATAGCCATTGTACTATGGTATGAAATAAAGGGCACTACAAATTTTGCTGTAGCAAATATTAAAAAAGAAATCTACTTCCCCAATACTGTGATTCCAAGGAGTGTTATCATGTTCATCTTCTTTAAGTGAAACTGGCATTTATAATATTTTGACATACAGCCGGATGCCGGTGGCTCACCCCTGTAATCCTAGCTACTCGGGGTACAGATCAGGAGGATTGCGGTTTGAAGCCAGTCAGGGACTATCTTGAAAAACCATTCACAAAAAAGGGCTGGTGGAGTGGCTCAAGGTATAGGCCTTAAGTTCAAACACCAGTACCACAAAAAAAAAAAAAAAAAATTGAAATACAATGAAGTCTTGTGCTGATTCATTCTAATGCACTAGTAGTTTCACCTACTGCTGCTTTTCTTTTTCTTTTTCTTTTTTTCTGAGATATGGTCTCCCTATGTCACCTAGGCTGGTTTCAAACTCATGGGCTCAAGTGATTCTCTCACTTTAGCCTCTGAAATAGCTGAGATTACAGGTATGTGCTACTACAACCTGCTACTCACATTGCTTTTTCACAATTAGTGCAAATATCAATATAATGAAAAAAGAAAGGTCTTAATATTATTATGACAATAATTTTGACCTTGTGACTACCCTAAGAGGGCATTTAGGGAACCCTCATAGAACACATTTTGAAAACTGATGGGATATAGTGAAAGCTGATTAATGAAATACCAACTTTCCAATATAGTCAATATAGAATTAGCATAGTGCTGGACACTTAGATTTGTCTACTTGGACTATTTTCAGAAGTAAGCAGCAGTAAAAACAGCTAAGAGCTAATGGCTACAAAGATATTCCTTACATAATAATGCTTTTGGACCCAAAGCAAACAGGCATTTTTAAGCAGCATCATAAAAGAGACAGCAGAACACACAAAAATATTAAAAGTAGAGGAAAGAAAGCAAAAAGCAGAAACACACAGAAAAGACATCTATCTCTATTCAATTCTAACATATAATGACTGCCTTGTGTGCTCAAGGCACTAGTCAAGAAAAACAATGCAGGTTATAGCTCAACTTGCCCTAAAGGAACTAACAGGTTACAAGAGCCATGTACACACAAATAACAATGAGCCATAATTTGTGCTGAGAAAGAGAGGAATAAATCAGTCAATGAACATGACAGAAAACAGCTTGTACCTACATATAAAAACAATTAAAACATCTGTTTTAAAAATAGAAGATAATATTTTCTCACTGCAAAAGTAGTGGGACATATATCATAAGCACATGCACAATTCTGACCAGTAGTATACACAAGAAGACAATCTTAGATTCCAAATTCTTTCAGGGCCCTGCATCCATTATCATTTCTAAGTATGCCATGAACCAAAAGAAGCATTTAAGCCTAGCAATGATTTTTGACCTTTTTTAGACCAGGTCTCACTATACTATGTCACTGTGTAGCCCAAACTTGCCTAGACCCTGAGATTCTCCTCAGCCTCCCAAATGCTGAAATTACAGGCATGTGCCACCTTCCAGCTTTCATTTTGTCTTCTGTAGTGGTGACTTAAAAGGCACCCTCACAAACAAATCACTCCATGCCAGTGTAAACTGTAGCTCCGAACCTTTGCCTGGCAGTAGCCTACTGAAGTGGGCTGCACAGTGGAAAAAATCAAAACAAAACTAACAAAAAAATCCCCAATCACTGGGCTAGAGGTATGATTCAAGTAGTAGAGTTCCTGCTTTGCAAGCACAAAGCCCTGAGATCATACCTATTCCCTCCAAAAAATCCAAATCACTACTGGGAAATCATGAATTCACATAATTCAATTTGATAATCCATAGATAAAGCCATCTAAAATAGAATATAAACACATGAACTTTTATACCTGTGAGGCAAACTTATGAAAATTTGCCATTTTTGTAAATTGCTCCCACTGTTCAATTCTCCAAAATGGTGACTTACGTACAAAGCAGTTTCTTCGAATATCAACTAGACCACATTGTAAATTTGTTCCTTCAAAAGGACAAACAGCTGGTCATGGTGGTACACAGCTGTAACCCCAGTACTCAGGAGGCTAAGGCAGAAGGATATTAAGTTCCAGGCCATGGCTTAGATACTATCTTAAATCTAGCAAGACACTATCTCAAATCTAAACAAACAAATAGAAGTTGGGCATGTGGCATACATTTGAAATTCCAGCACTTGGGAGGTTGAGGAAGGAGGATGAGTCTGAGGCCAGCTTGGACTACACAGAGAGATTGTGACTTAAAAAAAAATCCACATTATCTCATCAGTGAAATCAGAAATAAATAAAAACATGCAAGCAAACTTTCAGCTACTTAGAAATCCTAAAAAAAAAAAAAAATCGAAAGAAACCACTTCTAACCAACTTTCAAATCAAAAGAGG